ACGCCGTTTTTTTTTGCTTCTTCTTGTTCGTTTTTCGCGCGAGCGTAAGAAAACCGTAAAAATTTCATCCAAAAAACACCAGCTAAAAAATTCAATTCGAAAAATCGAACCAGGCCTTTCATTCTTGTTTTCTGCCCTCTCCTCTCTCTGCGCTGCTGCAGCTGCTTCTCTTTGCAAACTTCCAAGCCTGCGGTGTTAGGCCCGTCAACTCAACAAGGAGAGGGGGAGGGAGGCCAACAACCAAGTCTTCAAGCTAACCATTGATCATTCTTTACTCGCTGCGCCTCTTCCATTCTCTCAGTCTCTCTCCATTGCACTTGTTAGCCACACCATCAGGAATAAAAAAAAAAAAACTAAAACGAGAGAGGAAGGAGGCAGGGCAGAAAGGGCTTTGTCCAAACACAGCTAAACATAAAGAAGAAAAATTTCAAAGAAAACTTGTCAATGCATAGGAAAACAGGTTTTTCGCTTCACCTCCTGAAGCACTACATCGAGATACGACACGACCGCAATTGTCGCAAGGCAACACGTAAAAAAAATTAACTGGTACAATTTTCATTCTTTTGGACTACGGGACCCCCCAGTGTGTGGTCACCCCCCCCCCCCCCTGGCCCCGCCCCCCCCCTAACCCGGGCTTCTGTCCTTCACAGGGGGGGGGGCGGAAAGGGGGAAAAAAGGAAAAGGGGGGAAACCCCCCACACTACACGAATTCCCATTTCCATCCGAACAGAGATTTCGGCGCCCGCTCCGAAGGCCCCCTAGCCGAGCGAACTACACCACAAAAAACTCGCCTGGTTTGCTTCTACACGATACGGTACAGGCACCCCCTGGCCGCTCGGTTGACAATCGGTCAGATCAACAGACGAAAGGCTCTCGCGGGGACCGAAGGACGGATGCGACACCAACACTCCAAAAAAGACTATGACATGACAACGACGAGAAGAAAAGAAGCAAAACAACAACCAAAACCCTTGAAAAAGGAAAGAAGCAAACCCCCGACATGTCCATCCGATCCACCCCCCACATCCCCACATAAAAAAGAAGACGCCGACTTCCGATGCGATAGATATATAAAAAAAAAAAGAGACAGAAGACAGCAGTAAAGGCAAACAAAACGATAAAACAAACGGCAAATTCACACGGCCGCCGCTGCCATTGGTACACACGCACCCTCGAGGGGGGCCCTCTCACCGCGTCGGCACGCCCAAGCAAAGCAACCGCATGCACGGGACGGTGGTATTTAATTCAACATCATCCCCGGCTGTCCATCCGATGTCCGGGGGGAATCAGGGGCTGCCGTCCCCTCCGTCCAAAACTTCCTCCGCGTTGCGCAGCGCCGAAGCGACCCACACGTCCACCGGGGGGGACAACGCCTCCTCCGCGTCGGACACCCCTCCGCCGACCCACCCAACTCCGCGGGTCCCCCCCTGCTCGTCCTCCTCCCGCGAAACACCTTCGGCCGCCTCTTCCGCCGCTGCCTGGGGAGAGCATGCAGCAGCGGCGGGGTCAACGTCAACGTCTCCGCCGGCGCCGCCGTCGGCTTCTCCCTCGGAGCTCGGCGCGCGCCGCGGACCCCCCCCGCCGCCGGGGGCCACCGAGAACGACCACTGCGACGGTGACAGCAAGGGGGATGGCGCCGTGCGTTTCTCGGGGGAAGGGCGGGGCTCCGGGGAAGGAGCCGACACGCTGCCGGCGTTGCTGCCCCCGCCCACGCTGCCGCCGCTCGTGAAGCTGCTGCTCCTGGCCGCGGCGGCAGCGCTCGGACCTGGCCAGCACGTTCATCATCTTCAGCCGCGGGCCCTAAAGTTGCACCGCGCGCACGGAGAGAGGAGAGAGAGAGAGAGAGAGATAAATACACACACACACACACACACACACACACACACACAAGCACGCGGGGTCAAATGCTTGTTGCAGAGAGGAAGCAAGACAAGAGTCAAGAGTCACTTGAACACCCTTTCTGGGACGAGAATTTAGAACGCGCCGCAGAAGCAAAGGGTGCTTGCACGACGGAATGGGACCTGCTGCGGCAAGGCACAGACATCACCGTTGTATGGCACACGCATGAGCCTCTCGACGGAAACACGACACACACGCCCGGCGTGTGAAACAACGCCGCCGCCGCCGCCGCCGCTACCGCCCACCTTGGCAACCCCCAGCTGCGCGTAGTCCGACTCCTCCATCACGTCTACGGCCCCCATGTCCACCTCCGCCTCCTCAAACGCCTTGCAGTACCGGTCAAGCCCCAGGGAGGCTAGGAAGGTCTTCATGGTCGACAGATCTCCCGACTTGGGCGGGTACCGGTTGGTCCGGAGCGCGTACAGCAGCTTCACCCGCGGGCCCTTGGGGATGCCTGGAGATATATGGTGTTGGACGGTTTTTTGTTTCCGTTGTGGATCATCACAAGGTACGGTTCGGTTTCACAACAGCGCCAAGATACAGACGGTACGTGCGCGAGATGGGAGGGGGTAGGGGAGATGGAAGACGCGCGTCATCAAAATTCAATTCAACGTAGGGGTAACCAGGACGACGAGGGTCGCAACGTAGAAACTCTGACCGCGTGTGTGTGGGAGGGTAAAACAAGGACGCACACACACCACGGGGTCTTCGCTACTTCTTGGTTTATTGCTGAATTGCGTATGGCGTGTGATCGCTCAAAACACATCTTCCTCAAAGAGGGACACACACACTTCGCTTAGACTACACCGTTCCCCTTACCGATGTCCTGGAAGTCCGAGTCAGCCATGAGCTGCACGGCCTCGAGGTCGATCTCGTTCTCCGTCAGGGCCTGTGCGTACTGGCCGAGCCCCATGTCTCCTAGGAACTCGGCCAGATCGGCGGGGTTTCCAACTGGCGTTCCCGGCCGCTCTCGCTGACGGCTTGCCTGCCCGATGCTCCGACCCTACAACAACACAAAAACGCAACACATATCACGGACGGTTTTGATCGACAACACACGGCGGGGGCATCGGCGGCGGTGGCGGGTGTGACAAAACTTGCGGAGGAATTGAAAGTCAAATGGTGCCGACACAGGAGGGAGGGGGGGCATCCGGCGTCATGTTAAGCGATGTTCACCATCCAACGGCCGTCTCAACCTCGCCCTCGTGACACAAACCCAACCAACCCAAACAAGATATCCCGGTCTCGCCTTTTGCCGCACCAACTACTCATCACACCGACGCCAAACCTGTTATTAATGAATACCGTAATCGCATTGTATACAGCCGGAAAATGAACGTAGATTGGTCAAACATTCAAACATTTGACCCTCTCTCAAGCACGTTGTTCCGACCATCGCTTACAGCCCGACAATCACACAACACACGTTGACCACCTGTCTTGGCCGTTGCTCCCGTATCCCTACAAAGTCCCAAAACCACCGTAAAACGACCAGATTGGTCAAACATTCAAACATTTGACCCTCTCTCAAGCACGTTGTTCCGACCATCGCTTACAGCCCGACAATCACACAACACACGTTGACCACCTGTCTTGGCCGTTGCTCCCGTATCCCTACAAAGTCCCAAAACCACCGTAAAACGACCAAAAGCATACACACGTTAACAACCTCTCCAGCCCGTTGCATACTGGCACGAATGAAACTCACCCCGCCGTTGGAGTCGTCCGAGTTGATCGACAGCCTGTTCATGTTCATCAGCGCTCCCGCCACGGACAGCCCGGTCGCCGGGCTGTTGCCCAACCTAAGCGGAGGCGCCCCCCCGCCCCCTCCCCCGGCGGTGTCCACGACCCTGATCGGCGGGGCCCCCATCACGTTCCAGGAGCCCATTGACAACGACCGTCCCACCAGGGGGGGGGTCCCCCCGCTGCTGATGCTCCCGGTCCGCGACCCCCCGCTCGCCGCGCTGTTGTGGCCGAGCATACCCCCACTGCCCCCGCCCCCCAGGGAGGAAGACCGGGAGCCGTGCGACTGGGTGTTCACGTCCACGAGGGCGGCGACGTTGATGTCGGTGCTGCTCTCCTTGCCCGAGGCGAGCCGGGGGGGTAGCCCGGACAGCTGGTGGTGGTGTTGTTGATGTTGGTGTTGGTGCTGCTGCTGCGGGTGGCTTCCCTGGTGGTGGGGACTCTCGTGGGATCGGCGACTTTTCACTCCGGCCCCGGGAGGACTTTGCTGCCCAGTCGGCAGCTGCTGCTGCTGCTGCTGCTGCTGCGATGGCTGATCAACACCACTCTCGGCGCCACCCCCACCGATGTTGAACATCGACGACGGCGCGCTGAACACCGACCAGTCCATCTCCTTGCCGTTGAACCCGGCCACGTCCGCCTCCATCTTGGCCGGGCGCCCGCCGCCGCCGCCCCCGGCCGCTACAGCGGCAGCCGGGTGCTGCCGCTGCCGCTGCTGCTGCTGCTGCGCGTGCATACCTCCTCCGCCTTGTTGCTGCTGCATCATCGAGGACGCCGGCGAGCCGCGGAGCTGTTGTTTCCTCAGCTCCTCATCGTAGGGGGCCCCGCCGACCACCGGGAAACCTGCCCCTCCTGCCGACAGGTTACTGCCGGGGTCCCCGCTGCCGGGAATGGACAGCGGGGAGGAGCCCATGCGGACACCGCCCGCCTCCCCAGGGTTCATGAACGGCTGCTGCCCGGGGGGGCCCGTGGAGCGCACCGTGAAGCTGTCTAGCCCCCCACCCCCGTCGTCCATGAACTCGGCCATACCGGCGACTCCTGCTGTTGTTTGTTTGGGGGCGGAGGCATGTGTTTGTATGTGTGCGTGTACAGCGGGAGAGACAGCAGCGGCCGGTACCAGAACGGTGGTAGATACAACAAGGGAATGTGGAGACCGTCGTGTGCGAGGACGAGAAAAACAACAACAACGGACGACGGGAAAACGCGGGGAACAACACATTCGAACCAGCAGTGTACATCACAGAAAGCCGTAGATACATATCCTGGAAGCTTTGAAAACACAGGCCACCGATCGATGGCACTTGCAGATATGAACAAGGGTAGAGAGGCTCTTTCCTCGCCCCTCGGCATTTCGGGATCTTGTCTCTCTTTCTCTCGAGACATATCCACCCGCACTTCCACTGCAAACGACCCCTCCCAGTCATCGCAACCCAACAGCAACAGCAGCAGAAGTCAGAAACGGTACAATAACAAGCCAGAGACCAAACGACTCCCCGACAGAGCATACGCAGCAACCCGATAGCAGCAGCAGCAGCAGAAGCATATCAGTAGCGGAAACGAGACAGATAAAACCCAACCAAGCAGCAGCAGCATGTAACGGCAACAAGCTAGAAAGCCAATTCGAGCGGAAAAAACGCACCGGGAAAGTCGAGGAAGTTCGGGGGCACCGCGCCGCCCAGCCCCGCCCCATGCTCTGCGGACCGCCCGAAGGTGATGACGTCTTCAATCATGGCCACGCCCAGCCTGACGCTCTGCGGGATGCCGCTGACGATTACCTTCATCATCTTCTGGTTGATCACCACGTTTGCACGGCTCTCCTCCTATTCAGAGATTTGCACGGGATCACGGCGCGCGCATCGGGGGGGGGGGGGGGGGTCACGTGTTGCCCATGATTTCGTTCTGTTCCCAATACATGTTTCAATACACGATAACGTATGAAACAACAAATCCGTGTCTATCCACAGGTGACAGTAGTCCAGTATAATAAGCAACGAATCCATAAGCTGTGGCAGAAGCACTGCCAGTGTTTCTACGGTCCCCTGAGCAGCACACAGAGACATCTCCCCTGCGGGTAACAGGCTTTCCAAAGGCAATTTTTGTGGCCATCTTTTGTATTTTCCCTCAGGGTTGTCCAATGTTTCGCCGTTGCTTCGACTACGAAGGAGTACGTAGCACACTGGCCTTTGCACCGATTCACCAGCGCCTTTTTGGTGCACCCCACCCTAACACCCCACGGTCGCCCGGGGTGTGTGTGCCATGTCTTACCGCAAGGGAACACAACACAGGCCGTATGCATGCCTCCATTCATGCATGCATGCGCGTGCCGGCATTGCAAACGCGAGTCCTTCTATTGTACCTTGATACGCTTGATCGTGGAACCGCCTCTGCCGATCAGGAGGCCGATGAGATGAGGGGGGCACTCGATCATGTGGCTGGTCACCTGGAGAAAAAAAAACAGAGGTGGGGGACGAATGGTGCGCGGCAAGGAAACGGGAAAACCACGTTTTAATCACCCGAGAGTACCGTTGTTTCTTGGGACCTGCCATCAGGTGTGCGAGGCGGCCGGGGAGACGATTCCAAACTTTAAATTTCCACGCGCAAAAAAATGCCAGACAACAAGTACAAACAAATTATCCCCGTGTCTTCGCTCGCTTTTCAGGAAATGATGCGATCAGCCACCCTGCAGTGAATACATCCACACCAATAATCAACTTCGTCCAGACACAGGTATTGTGGAAATGGAGGGGCGCAAAACCGCACTTGTGCGAGTAAAAAAAAAAAAACACAGGTTGGTCGATGTATCATGCCACACCATAATTCATCGCCAAAAAACGTATATTCTCGTTCTCTCTCTCACTGCGGAAACTAGAGATGACATACAGCAGTACACACAGTACATCGAAGCAAGACGACCCGCACGAGGTCTAACCACAGCAGTAGAGTTATTTAAAACTCGATTCATGGACCGGCGGGGCTTTTTTGGGCCTTTCGCTGCTTTGTACATTTTTGGTGAAAAACTCTCGTGATAACGAATTCGAGAATAGATTGATCTTCACAGGATAAAAACATACGACTGTTAGCCTGCGCCAATACATCCTCGGACAGCTGGTGTTGGGCAGGTGGGCTGCCGTTGTGGTGCAGCCAAATTTGATCAACCGGAAACAAGCAGCATGCGAAATTAGAGTGCCTTTTCTCAAGGTGATACGAATATGCACACCCCAAAGTAGTGAACGAATAGCGGAAAAGGCGCGTTCGTCTCTGCCAAGAGCGCCCCCAACCCACGCTAGCTGACACTCTGTATGTTGGCACTCGGGCACGTTGATGATAACAAACCGGTGGTCCTTCTTTTATTGTGCCAAAGAGAAAACGAGAGAGGGGTTAGAAAAGACGAAAAGACAGGCAGACAGGTATATACGCACACCCTGTGCATCAACGGCAACAACAACAACCTCCAGCCTCCCCGCCATGCCGACTAGGAAGGGCCGCCCTCCCCCCCCAAAAAATAACGGGGCAGCCCATAAGCTACGCGGCGAGCCTTGTGGAACTGTGTCTGTTCGTTAGTTCGTCTGTGCTTGCGTGCGATGGCGGCACCAGAGAAAGCGAGAAAGAAAAAGGAGCACGACGATAGAGGAGGGCAGAGGGGAAAAGAGAGAGTGCAGCAGCATGCAGCAACCTCACGTACGCGTTGATACGCATGCAGCACAACAAAAAATCGTTCGGGCAGTGCCCGAAAGTTTAGTTGGGGGCTGGCGGTGGTGGCGGCATTGTTATGGCTGTGTGCTGTGTCTTTGCTGTTGTGACGGCGGTGATGTTTGCTGCAAAAGCGAGGAGAGAGGAGAGGGAGAGAGGGAGATAGAGAGAGCAGTCTGTTCGTCTCGGAACACAAATATATACTTGGAGCTCTGGAGCCCAAACATATATGCTCACGACTCATGCATTTTTGCCCAAAAGTCCCCTCCGATATAAAACTCGATTCATCCACTTTTCGGGCTCTTCCACTGGTTTCATGCATTTTTTCGAGTTTCAAATAACTCTAGTAGAAGGGGATGGATTGAAGTCTTTGACACAAAAGTGTGAAAAAAACAAAGTTGAAAAATTCACCATTCTTTCACCTAATATACGTTACCCACCTCATCTTCAACACCGGCGCTGTTGACGTTTACCGGTGCCTTGGAAATAAGGTCCCCCACGAGCGCGGCAGCGGCATGAATCCGCGGCATGTCGGCGCCCGTGATGTAGAGCTTGAGGTCCTTCTGGTCGACCCACATACCGCAACCGCTTCGATGCTGAGGGCGTTCATAAATTTGCGAACGGGTGCATAACGGGAAGAGTGAAAATGAGTGAAAACGGGACATACAGATACACGTACACGGCAACATGCAGGGTTGAGATACAACACGTGCGTTAGTATTTAGACGAACATTAGGCAAACGCAAGCGAGGGTGTTCGTTCCCCATTGGCCAACAGCAGCAGCGCAAACAACGCAAGATCTAGCTATGGCAATTGCTGCATACAGGTTAGCAAGTAGAGATGGAACGACAAACACTGAGGGACCAAGAGAGGCAGGCTTGCACCCCTCGGCGCCTCAGCAACACCCGTTACAGATTTCGCAAGTGCCTCCCCTAACCCCAACGCCCCCAACACTTGTCTATTCTTGACAGCTGTTGAGCTTCACACAAGAAGACGCGCATGACACAAGCATGACTGAATGGACACACGTCTTCCAAGTCTTCGCATTTAGAATGCAGCAGCCCCTGCTACAGCAGTGATTCCTTCTGTCGGAAGCCGCTACATACATGTAGGTTGATGGGCAACGAATGCTACAACATTTGCAACCAACACTGGTCACCAGGTGGCGCACAAAATGAATGGACTTACGACAGGCCAGACAAACAGCGCGTCGTCCTGCACCCCGCCATGACCCCCACCCACCAAGTTTTGCCCTTACGGCAAACACAGAAGAGGTGCTCGCTGGTGGGATCTACAGCAAGGCATCGCGATGTTACTACCGGTACGGCATCACTGCAGCTGTATTCCCAAACAATAATAAGGTCAATCGTCCCTATCCGGCCACTAGTCGGTCCCCAACCCCCAAGCCCGTCGAAAAACTGCAATATTTCCAGTAACTCTACTGCACATCGCTGCAGCTGTATCCAGTGGAGGTCGGTGAGCCAGCCGTGACAAAAGGCATAGCAACAAGTTGCACGGGAGATGCATGCATGTTACGGACATGCAGCAGTTTGCAAAATTTCCCTCAATTGAAAGAGGAGTTGGGACAGTATGAAGACTCAAGAAATGGGACAAAAACCACGACCCAGTGTTCACAAGCACGAGGCGATGCATGTGTGACGGGACAGCAGCTTGCAGCTCGTCCGCAAGGGGTATTGGCGCGTACACAAAACTCAACAAGCGGCGTTGAGGTACATAGATAGGATCACAAGGCGCCGGCCGGCCGCACCAACTTCTCGTTTACCAGATACGCAACACACATGCGCGCATGTAACATTGTACCCGTTGGAGATTGGAGATGGTATCTATCTCTCCGGAAAAGAGTTCTTTCCCTGAAGGAATTTACTGGACGTTGGGCAAGCCGTACTAAGGAAAAATAAATACACGCACAGAAAGACTACCCATTCGAGATATACCCACATACCCACAGCAGTCGAACGGGATGTGGTAGAGTCTTTTTCAGTGAGTGGAGGAAAACCGGCTGGGTAGTATTAGACTTATTTTGAGTCTTTTTAAAGTCTGAACACTGGTGATTTATATCAGTAAATGCCAGCTTTGTGCTAAGTACAAAAACATCTGTATACAAAGGGTAACTTACATTTTACGTTACATCCCCTGTAGTTCTCTACTGGGTCAACGACAAAATATCGGGGAGAATCTCTCCGTTGTGTCCTACGTACCGTTGGCCTAAAGACTACGGGACAAGTTGGGGCTGGCAGACATGAATGAAACTTCGAGGGTTGATGTGATAGGGGCGAGATATCACACATACGATGTCCCACTCCATGTGTCTAAAGGCAAAAAAAAAATACATTGGCCATGCGTGTGTGGCGCCAACATATATTTTCTTTCACTCTCCACAATCCACAACGCATGATCATTCGGTCCTAAAACATACCGACTAGACTAGTCCTCCTAACGTACGCTATTCTTAACATAAAAAAGATGGACACGCCACCGCCCGTGTTGAAGCATTCTGAGATGCAAGATTCTATGATACTTGAATGTACTGCTGTGCTTGTCGGAGTATCGAGTGCGCCGATTGATGAACGTTCAGTTCAGGTGGTCACTGACCTGCCGGTCGGAATAAAAAACTCGCGCCATTAGTTATCCAGAGGGACAAGATAATTTTTCAGAATAACAACTTCTTGCCCTTGCTACGCGCTTTGTGGTCCTCCCCCAACGACAAAAACTTGCTCGCGGGCTTCAACAGGAGTAGCTTCACATCTCCGCCCGCATACTCATCGCGTATTAAAATATATATTCGTGCGCAGAAAAGTACTATTGTCGTCTCAGGGAACCCAAACGACCCGTCATGCACTCTGGTGGGCGAGCGCAGCAGGGAACAACAGCAGCAGCAGCAGCAGCAGCAGCAGGGAAACCCGTGCTCTGAGCTCGTGCGTTACTGAGTTAGTTGCCATTTCCGATGATGGGTCAGGCGTACAGGCGTTTGTGTTCCTGTTCTGGAAGCACACTTGCTAGGCGGTGTTGCTAGGCGGTGTGCCGACCGCGCCGCGTTGTGAACAGCGCGCGTATTGCTTGCTGTCGCTGTACTACAACTTCATCCAAAAAACACTTGCCCATTTTTCCGAAAGCCTTGGCTTGGGCGAGCGGTGTCAAAACATTTCTCAACGTGAACGACAAAAACGCACAGCAGGCAGCGAAAAGAAAAAAAAGGCCGAGGACGCAACTATTTGTTGTTCGTCCACAAAGAGCTGGCAATTTTTTTTCAGAACAATCTTTGTGGGGTACTTCTGTCCCCGTCTCTCGCCTCTACAGGCATGTTGCGAAGCCGGATAGGTATACATGTACATGTGAAGACAACAACATGGGGAGTTTCGCGAGCGCACCCGCTTGGGTAGTAACCAAGAACAAACATAGGGGCGGGTCGGTTTTTCTCGGTAGAGCCTTATGGTACCGCTGTCGAGCACACAATAATCAGGGAGGTGCAAAAATGGTCCTAACTCTCTCTGCACACATTACAACATAGCCGTTGTGTATAGGAGAGAAAAGAAGCCATCTTTCTTTTGTTGTTCGCAACAAGCAATGGAAAGCCGCACTTTGCACCTGTGGCACTGAAAAAAACTAGAATCCGGAAAACACATCGATCGCGGCGGCAGCGGCAGGGAAATAAATATATAAAAGAAAAACGTTCGTCTTTCTCTGTGAGGTGATTGATTCCGTTGGTGCACGGGCGACCGGGTCTCCTTCTGCAGGGAGAACAAGGAAGGAAACAAGGCCAGCAGGCGACCTACACCATGATTAGATGCCTCCTCTGGCTCAGGCAGCGTACCCAACGATCCCACAAAGAATATTGACTTGAGACCACCAAACAAAAAAAAATCACCTTCATTTCCTTGATATGCGCGCCGCTTCGCCCGATCACCCAGCCGACGACCTCGGGGGCGATGTCCATAACGCACCGAACGAACCCAGGGAAACGCTCCAGTACCGTGGGTACCGCCGACGCGGGGAGAGCGCTGGCCCCGTGCGGCAGGGAGGCAAGCGCGGCCATGGACATGCTGGAGTGGTGGTCAGGCGAAGCATTCCCTCGACGCTGCTGCTGCTGCTGCTGCTGCTGCTGCTGCTGCAGAGACATGTGCTGATTATTTGGCGGGCTGCCCCTGCTTGTACCAGCCATCAGCCTGCTTGTCCCGGGGCTCGAGTCCCTCATTGGTTGCTGCTGGCTCCGTTGGTGTTGGTCTGGCCATGGTGCTCCTCCTGCTCCTCCTCCTTCGCTCATGCCTTGATGTTGTTGCTGAGGTCCTCCTGCGATGTTTCGGGTCTGGCCGCCTGGGCCCAGAGCCAAGCCACCAGCAGGCACGAGCATTTGCTGCTGCTGCTGCTGATGATCCGAGGGCATGAAGCCAGGGTGTTGTTCGAAGTTAGATCGATGCTGCTGCTGCTCATGCTGCCTGAGCGGAGCAGGACCACCACCACCACCGCCTACCTGCATGCGTGGGAGCGACGGCTGCATGGATTGGCCCGCGGTGGCGGCCGCCCCCGCAAGGAATCTCGTCGATGCGGCAGCGAACGCGGCAGCGCCCCCTTCGTCTAGATGGCGGGTGTGCGGAGCGTGGTTGGGAAGCTGCTGCAGGGGCTGCTGAGGGTGGTGTCCAAGGGAGCCCCCAGCACCGCCAAAGCGGGAAGGCCCCTGCTGCTGCCCGCCGCTCGACTCGGCATCTCCCAGCCATAACCTCCTGTCGACCTCCTGATGCTGCTGCTGCTGCTGTCTGTCGCTCTTCTTGGAGTCAGCCCCCGCTCTCGAGTCCATGGGTCGAGGTATCCCACGGTCGGGGCTCACACGGCCGGGTACGCCGACGCGCTGCTGCTGCTGCTGCTGCTGCTGCTGAGAGTCGTCGATGACTAACCCACCCCGAGGGACGTTAACCTCGCTCCCCCCGTTCAGGGCGTACGCGCCGCCGCCGCCCGCGGGAGGGGGTTGTTGTGGACGGCCTGCTGCCGCCGCCGCCGCCGCCGCTTTGTCGACGAGCAGGGCGAGCGTGTGCTCCCTTGCGCCGCTGCCGCTGCTGCTGCTGCTGCTGCTGTTTGCAAAGCCCGCTCTTGGCCAGTGGGCTCCTACAACTGCGGCGTCTCCGCCTCCCGCGCCGTTCACACCCCAGCGTCTGGAATCCGTGTCGCCGAACGCTACCGGTGGCATTGCTCGTGTGATCTGTCCCAACTCAACTCATGTACCGGGCGTGGTTTTCGGACGGCTCTCGGGACTGCGGAACGAGGTGTTGATGAGTGTGTGCACAAAAAGAGGCTGTGAGTGCGATGATCAATCACACCTTACGTCCAAAATGTCTCTCCGTATAAAAGCCCGTCGTTTTTTTTCTTTATTTTTTTATTTAATGCAAGGGAGGGGCACTGTTTTTTCAAGACGATGAAATTCGGCTGTTCCATGAACTATTCGCGCAGAAACGCCCGGACGCACGTGCGAAAATCGCCTCTTTGTGGTAAAGACGTATCCGTGGTTGACCCTTCGCGTCCCAGGGGCACACCATGGTTGTTCTTGGAAAAGTTTCTTGTTTCTGAGGGATTCAGACCGATGGTTGCGGCAAACTGCGGGGCTCACAAACTAAACTTTGTATGTCTCCTGCCGCTGAGGAATGTTGTACCGTTGGTTGCTTGCTTCACCTATACCCCTTCGTGGGGAGTGTGGTGTGCTTGCTGGGGTGCGCTCTCACCGCTCGATCTCACTCTAAGCGAAGAGAGACCGCATCACGATAGCCACTTTGAGCGTCGCCCGGCAGCTTCAGAGTTGCGGTCAATTTTTGCAGTTGCCAACATGCACAAGACTTACAGATCCAACGCGTCGCTTCCTTTCTCACAGTGGACACATACGTCATCTACCCAACCTGGGACCAGGGCCTAAACCCGGCAAGCTCCCAAGAGAGCTGCTACCCTGGGACACATGTAACCGTTGCGCGTGGGCGGGGATCCTTCGGTCCGAGTAGTCTCTGATCTTAACGTTTTCGTCGTGGCCTTCTTCGCTGTTTTTGAGAGGATGGATGTCGCCTCAACCGCTTCTTCATCGACGTAGTAGCAGTAATCCGCCCCCAGCTTGCCCTTGCTCAACAACAAATGCCCGACGACGGAAATATGTCTGTTGGCGGGGCGGCGGTGTCCTGTATTCATGAACCAAGATACATTTTATTGACTAGATACGGGAGACTTTCTTCCCATGTAGTATCGTAAGCAATTGCAGCCGGCGGATAGACACAGCAACGGTCCCGTGTCTTCTTTGTTTGTACACAGACTATCTTCTATCATCCCAGTTTCTCTTCTAGATATGGACGCGTTTTGATCTATGCCTCTTTCGGGAGGCATTAGGCATGCGTGCATGCAGGTCTCGGATCCTCGGAGATAACACTACATGCCCCAAGCAGAGCCGGAAAAAGACGGCGATATACTGCCTATAGGTAAAAAGGTCGCACTTTCTTCTCCTTGCCTCAACCTACCTCTACCTCCACCAGCACCGACACCACCGAGAGTCTACATTCTCTTACCACATAGATAGATAGCCACATCATGACTCTGTAGATACTGTAGCTGACATGTACCACTGCCACTGCTGTACTACTGCAGTACTTTGTGGTAAAACTTGCAGGGCTTGATACGCCAGATGCTAGACGCGGGTTTGAGATACGAGGAACAGCCGCAAGAAGTGTTGTAGAGGGGTTCGAGGCTCGTGGATAACAGGCAACGAAGGTCCGTGGGGAGATCCAGAGTTAGTAGACGTACCTTGATGCAACTGAGTGGGCCGCTTCGGAGCATGTTTTGCTGTAACAGCGGGTGCCCCCTGTTTATTGTGCAGACGCCAATACATATGTATGCGCAATATGTTCTGCAAGAAAGAGAGTCCCAAGCTCTCCCGAACTCCCGCCTGAGGAGATCAACACACTTTTTTATGCGGGTCTCTTCCCCCGCCGTCTTGATGGCCGGTCACAAACTAAACCTATAGTCTGTGGTGGCTTGAACCAAACACCGTACGGAAAAGAGTGACGGCCGCCAAGGGTAGCAGTTTTCGTTAGGCGTCCAGCAACTCCGCCCGAGTCCCGTCTTGTCGACGATGAACAACGTGGTGCGAAGATGAGGAGGGCGGAAGATAGTGGTACGTCAACATCGGCGACGTCCTACTCTTGTTCCTGGCCCCCCCAACCGAACTATTAGCAGCACACTCAATCCTTACACCCGTAGGTGTGCCTAGGTTATACCTACGTGAACCGTGCCATCCAGGGCTAGCCATGGCGTTCAGATCCCTCTTTTCGACGGCGGAGGCCGGCTCGTCGTCAAACAACATGGCCAGCTTGGTTCCACCGTACCGGAACTTGCTGGCCACTCGAGCGGCTAGTTCTTCAGGCGTCGGCATCGCATCCGCCAAAAGACTCCCGTCTTCAAGCCTGGCCAATAATGAGTTTGTTGATCGTGGCCGAACGAACGAAAACAGCAGTGTTATTACCCCAGTCTACGCACGGCACACGCGTTCTTCTTGCTACTGGTGGCGGGTTTACGGTGGGACTAGCATGCCTGTGAGGACAAGAAAACTCTGTGAGTAGCCTCCTCAGTCCAAAACAACTCGTCTAGGCAAAGCATTCTTTTCCGGGCAAGGGGGGCAGGTACCAGGGGGTTGGGGCACGGAATATTGCCACCATAATAGCCTTGCAGATCTACCATTATAGCGGTAAGCAGCTTGAGGGGGGCACATGTCTCACACGTAACCGGAGGTAAACGATTCAACCTACACATACAACGATTTTTTTGATACACTCACGCCGTGCGGCCCAGGCAGTACTAGAATGGCCTTACACGTGCAGAGGGATGGTGTTACACATGCCCCGAGGTATGTGAAATGTTGGTTAACATGTATCGGGGCACACCTGGAGGGCGTTCGTGGCTCCCACAGCCATTGCACCCCCGAAATATAGTCGACCCCCGCGTCAACAAGCGCCGCCACTTCTCCCGGTACCGGTCCTGTGCGCCACCGGGGCCGGACAGGCATCCCTGCCATCTGATTGGCCAAGAAACGGTTGACCGAATAATGGATGACATTGGAACGACAAAATAGTGGATGACATGAGCTTCCGCTGGCGAAAAGTGACTAGCTCGGGTCCGGCTTAAGCAATGGTCGCTCGAAGGCGGCAGCAGTTAGTAGCCAAGGTGGGTTGGCTTGGTTAGCAAGCGCTGCTGAGAAAGTCAACATCGCGAGAAGTCTATCGACAAGAGAAAACGCGCGCAGAAATGCCAAACTGCGAAAGTGTTTCACAAAATGCATCCTCGAGCAAGTGGTATGGGTGAGAGGGCGTTGACTACTGTAGGGTAGGCAAGGCAACGAGGCAGACCGGGCTTCTCACGAACGAATGGACATTTGAGACACCTTGGCGAGACGCAATTGAAACGAACCCCACAATAACACTGCGGTACGGAAATTGGCCTCTCTTACGGTTAGGGTTCTTGAAACGTTGACGCGGTAAAGTCCAGGTGTCACTTTTACAAACTGTTTCCCAACGTTGATTCGTTCGTGAGCTTGGGTGACCAACCAAAAAGCCTGGTAACTGTAGCAGGCTGAATCTCGAACCGTACAGCATGTACACACTATCCGTAACAGGGAATGCCACAGGCGGCTCTCGAATTTGACGACAGTAATTCTCCATTGCAATGAGGGGCATTGCGAAATTTACTCACGAACAGCGGCGCTCTCAAACCAGTTTTATCCGGCGATTCGCCTGTCGACCTATCACAGCACTCGGGCCCGACATGTTGAGCCCCCTCACCTCCAACCCCAGTACTCGTCGTCCAGCCTGAACCGCGAGAGATACGGCCAGCAGACTCCCCTTTTCGCCGAACTGAGGGTGTAGTCGAACCAACCAAGTGGGACTTAGGTTTTCTAGCACGTTGCATGTGCAGGCCGTCGGCTGGGCATGGAAGTCCTTCAAGAACTACATGTAGCACGCGACTACCCCCGTTTGCGATAAACAAGCCCGACGTTGCTTGGTGGTTCAGCGAACCAAGGAAAAGTAACGATGTCGCACAACTACCGACACACATCACCACCGAAACTCTAGCACACCTAATCTTCGAAGACAAACGGGACAGGAACTTCAATCAACACCTGAGAACACCTCTCTGTGTTTCTTTACCGACTAGTTTCCTCTACTCTCGCGGATGGCTGGGTCGATTGCCACCGTTCTCGTGGAAGAACGCCCGGCAAGAAGTACTCGGTTGCAATTCGGCTGGTTCTAGAAACGCGGTTTACCTTGAATCTGGTTAGTATTGAACACTCCTACCTTAGTCGTCTTTAATTGCAGGCCGGCGATGTGCTTCGCCTTTGTTTCGAACTCTGCCACGGCCCCGGCGTGTCGAAGGGCCATCTGTTTCACGTACTCCCCGCACATCCTCACCCTCAGGTCTCCCGGAGGGTTGATCAGCGGATCCAGCAAGAGATGCGCCCGAATCGTCGCCTTTTCCCCCCGCGCCTAACGTATTGGCACCACGTTGTGTGATTGGTTGTTGTTGTTGTTGCGGATGGTTTCACAGCAACGCCGTCCTGGCGTCCGTTGGAGTATTCTTCCCTCGAAATTGTTTCCGGCTTTCGTCATACGTCAGCTCGACTTCTACGCCCGCGGGTAACCCCGACCAGGTTCTCTTTTCAACACCGTTCGTTGCTATGAACACAATCATTCGGCACGATCCAACCATGCAGAATGTCGTTGGTTTCTGGGACCCGAACGAACGGGCAATCGAGCAAACAGAGGGGTCCCGATAGCAAAACAAGGCGCACTTGGACACTGGGTAATTATTCGCTCGTCGCTAGCACACGGTTCGTTATCACGATGTTCTTTCTCAAACATAACGGAGCGTCTTGAATCTTGTTTTTTCCACTGACCTGTTCTTCTTTGAACTGCCGAAAGGCTTTCCCCTTTGCAGCGCCAAAGCCGCCTTCCCGCAGCAAGTCGATGCCGCCCCCGCCGCCGCCGCCACCGGGAGCTGACGCTGACGCCCGTGGGTCGTGCCGAACGACACCCCATCGCAATGCGCTTCCTCCTAATAGCGCTCCCCCAAACCCTGCCCCGTCGCCTTGGTGATTGTTGCTGTTGGTGCTCTCGTGTGCGAAAAGAGAAGCCTCGTTTCGCGCCCGCCAGATTTCGTCGACCTTTAGGATTGAATCGGATCGGCGTGCACTGGCACTGTCATTCCAGATAGACAACGTTTGAGGGGGTGATGTTGCGAGGAAACCCGGCCGAGAAAACAGGTGACAGTCTTGTCATGAAGTACGCAAACGCACGTACGCAGCCCGGGAAAACTATTCTTGTTCCGCACGCGCGCGCGCACAGTACGCATGCGATACAAAGCTCGTAGAAGCGCGATTCGACGTTCTATGGCGTTGGTGTTTTCCCAGTCAGGGCAGCGAGTTACCTTCGCGTCCACTCTTCGGCTCACTTCCTTCTCCCACAACCTGCACATGACGCGCCTGCACGCCGCCATCTCTTGCTGCCTCCGCCTCCACCATCGTTGTAGCCGTGCCAGCTGCACGTGCGCGTGCGCCACTCTCCAGGCCAGAAGCTTTACCCTCGTGCGTACGTCAGAGCTGAACGTCAACGTTCGAGGAAGAGCGGGAAGGGGGCTCTTTGTTTTCGCCATCGATCGGCGACCCTAGCAGGCGCCACGGGAGTTGTACCCTACATTGTTGATCTAGACAAGTGAAAGTTGTCGTGCGGAACAGGTCCACAAGTTGCGGAATAGGCCACAAGTTTCACACCAAGGAGATACCAAAGTACAAACGGGGGGACTTCCACTAGCACAAACATCAAGCGGATCTGATCGATCTGTGTTTTGTGTCTGATCGATTAGTCTAATGTGTATGGACTAATCGCTCAAGTTCTTGTGCCACCCCACTGGAGGTTCAGCCCTAGTTATGCTGTCCTGGCCCTCTTTTCGACGCTCATTCACGGGGAAGATTATATCGAGAGAAACCTTATCCTTTGCTCCATCGTGAGCAAGAAATCGGTAATTTAGCGGAAGAAAGCAGAGGTACACTCTTTGTAGTCGGCCAAGCAACGTAAGTTATGACGAGGTGTTTCTCAGAACCCCTCTCTAGCCCTTTACCGCACACAGAAGCAAAGAGAAGCGCTATACTGCAAGTTGTGGCACCACCAAGGTTGGCCTGTTGTTGCCGAATAGTGAGGGGAAAATCGTTACCTCTTCACGTCGGTTAGAAACCTCTTGAGAACAGCCGTGGCTTCGGTGTCTCGCTTGGTCTTCCACCTTGCAGCAGCAGAGGGAACCGAGTGAACATACAATTAAGCGCTTGAAAGGAGGAAGGTACACGCCTACATAGTACACGCTACGGAGACAGACAAAATCGCTTGTATCTTTTGTGTGCGTGGTCGAAACTACACAGATAGGCCGAAGACTCGTGCGGTGGCTCTATCGGAAAGCGTGAGACACCACGAGGCCCTCAAGAACGTGTCGAGATTCGTGTTTCGATAAGGAGATGAGATATCACGTCAAGATCTTCTATTTTGGTTGCTCCGGTGGGGGGGGACATCACGTCACCGCTGCCAAGGAATGGGACTAAATACACTCGAAGCCCATTGATCGGCCCGTCAGCGGATTGTGTCCTCAAATGCATCCGTGACCCTTTGTAATTATGATTTCCAGGGGCGAAACAATGCTCGAGCGGGTGGAAAATACCACCATATCCCGCTACAGGCTTGGAGGTAGTTTTTGAGAGAAGGTACGGTTCGAGTCACTCCCTGACACAAATTGCTAACAGCGACGGCTTTTCGGTTAACACGCTCTGAATGCGTCCGAGGAAGGCACATCGATTCACCCGGCCCAGAGTGAAACAAAAGGACGCCTGATTCCGCTTAGCTGAGCATGGAACCGAATATTCCCGTGCTTTTTCGAGCTTGCATGTGTACCTTACACTCGTCTCTCCACACAGTTGTTTGTCGCGAATGCTCCCGCTACTCAACCAAGCCGGACCCAACGTAGTCTTGAACCTGGATGGACGTGGCACACCTACCTTCGGATTTTCTTGGCAAACTGATTGTCGATCACCTTCGTGGCCACCTCCACGCGCAGCTTGAACCTGTCGAGATGCAACCGTCGGATAGATCAGAACGAGCGCGTCCGTGTAACACACCAGGTTGGAGTCAGGGCGAAATAACAGCAAAGCAAGGCCGCCCGCTGAGGAGCCGTACAATAAGAAAGCGCTTCAGCTTGCAAAGCGGAACAAAAGTCATCGAGGTCGCTTTATTGGGGCGATTTCTTGACAACATACCCTAGGTGCCAATGCCGGGACCGGAAGGGCGATGTAGTCAGGGCACTAACACTGAGCTGCGATGGAATGGGCTCTCATAGTCTTATGGGATACGTTGACACTACGGCAGTCGGTGATGATCCACACCTAATTGGGAGGGTGCTCATGACGGCAAGGGAGAGCAGGCATTGGATACGTGTACCCGCCCATTCGTCATCTTCGTCTAAGTCAATGTAGAAAGAAGGAGAGACAACACAGTCTTGGGTCAGCCCTACCTAGCACCTGACACAACGTCTGTGATTCAACAGGACACCAACAATTCGAAGCTCACAAGCCGTCTGGCGATTGGAGTCAGAAATGGCAGGCTTACTATTCCTTGACTTGTACCCGCGACACGGCTCTACCAAAAACAACCGCACGGAGACCTTACGCCGGAATCATAAAGTAATAACAGACGCTACAAAGTTAGTTTCAACATTTTCGTAACGCCGAGGACGGTGTCACTTGCAGGACCGCAGAAAGCTGTTCGTGTAGGCTCTGCGTCGTTGTGACCCTGCTAGAAGAGGCTTGGTCGTACGGTCGCGAAGATACTCAGTTTTGGTGTCACATAATTTCACCCCATCACCACTTTCGATATATCACGAATAACGCCTGCGTTCCTGTGCTAGATGAAAATCTGACGGTTGAGGGTTGTCCCGAGAAAATGATCCCGTGGTCACGGCATAACATTTTCTCCTCAACACCGGGGACATTGCTGTACGCGTGACGATATACCTCTTAGAGCACTGCCGACGACATGATACTGCCTCACGCGAATGGAGCGTGTTCATGCAGGGTGACACCGACCGCGCGAAAATATGCAGAATTTTCAACGTGGTTGGGCTTGAACTGAGAGTGAGTGTTTAACGCTCTGAAGCATTGGCCCTCCACTCCCCTTGGAAGTTAAATTTCCCGGAAAATGCCGGTAGTGTCCGGCAACTCAGCGTACCTGTGCCGTGCGACCGCCATGATGTGCCTCGTGATGACCTTGGCTGCCTCCGCCCGTCTCTTTTCCTCCTGGCAGAGTCCGAAACGGAAAGACGCAAAGCGGCCACGATCAGTGTTCAACAGCTTGACTGTACCTGTCTGGTTGTCTGGGACGCGGAGAATATGGTGGCGGCAACTGGTGTGCAAAGGCTTACCAGCATCATTCTGTCGGGAACATCACATGCCTTACGAAAATAGTTTTCTTGTGTTTGGTTGACTAGCTCTTGAGTTTGAACTGTGCCGATGGAATCCTTGAAAACATCGCCACAAGTGCGACCGTCAATATCTAGCTTGCAGCTGGTGGATTGGGTGGGTCTGTCCCGGTGCGACATTCGCCCGAACACCCCGTGGTCGGTACGTCTGCTACCTCGATGCCGTCGAGCCCGTTGACCACCCAGGCGACCGCCGCATGCATCTTGAGCGCGGTGAGCCAGCCCTTCGTTTGCACCGCCCGCCCGCGGGCCTGCTTCGTCCGCTCTCGTCGTGCCTCGCTCTTCTGTTCCTTGACGGCCTGATTCTCCCTCGCAGCTATACCTTGATCGTCTGGCCGTGCGAAGTGCGTAATCAGCTAAATGAAAGAACAAGCTGTGAATATTGTGTTGTTACGAAAAAGGTATTGGTTTTTCGTAGATCGTGGACCATGGTATCTCTCATTGAACTGGAATATACCGTGATATCTCTCGTGGAATTGGATGAGGGCAAACTAAGTACTTCGTTCATGGCGTCGCGAGACAATTCTTGAAGGTTACGGGCGACGATATCGCAAACGCCTACGACAAGAACGATCGGATAATTTCGTTCAAAAAGTTACGTGTGCTACTTCCCATGCCCTCACGGCTAGGTAAGGTTACTTCCCGCGGAGAGAATGGTAGAGATCACAACTGTCCGCTAGTCTTGAATCCACTTGAAAACACCGTACCGCGTCGAGTCTGAGTGCGGAGAGGAAAAAATGGCATGTCACATACGGGGTAGCAAAGTATATCTTGATCCTTCTACTGACGGAGTTCTTGTTCGGACGAAACGTCAATTGACGTCAACCCGCCCGTTTCAACTCTCTTTCTTAGTACCCCCGAGACGAGGCAATGGCTAAGCTTTCCCAGTCGGACGATGAACAGGACGGAACGGAGGAAATAAGCATTTTCTCCTGCTGAACGGGACGGAACGGAGGAAAGAAGCATGCTCTCCTGCTGAACAGGACGGAACGTTTGAAGGGAGCATTCTCTCCGGCTCTTATTTTTTCTCACTCACGTCGGCGTCTCTGGCATGACGACACCAAAGAACGGATGCGCTCTTCCCTCGCCCTCTTGCATGCATTTGCTCGCCTCGTCAGGACCGCCTTGGTCTCCGGATCAAGTAACGTCTGCGTTGCCCTGCTTGGGCGTTGGCCAAGAAGAAAGGATGCCGGAGAGAACGAATGGGTCTTGAAGCAAATAATTCGAAGCAAAAACAAAGGAAGCCATTTCGCCATTCGTTTTTCATTGTCCATCCACCTTCGAGACAGACAGACAGACAGACAGACAGACCTGTTCGCTTCAATCCCCCCGGAACGTAGACGCTCGACCAAACCCGCTTTCCGCTCCTGTTTTTCCGTGCAGTGGGCGGAATGTAGGGGGCGACGGCGTTGTTGTTTACGCTGCTATCGTTGTTGTTGCTGTCGCTTTACGTGTGCCAACCGTGGTGATTTTGACGGTGTCACTAGAAGAAACGTACAAGCCAAAGCGACAACAAACCTGAACACTCCTCGACGAACCTACTCTTACAACGAGTTTGCTTGAGACCAGTCACCGGCGAAGCAGAAAATGATCTAACTCGCAATAACTACAGGTGGCCATCGTGTCAGGAGTCGTGCAGACTCCCCCCCCAGCTGTGCCCCGACGTGCTTCCCGTTCGTGTTACCGAAACTCGGCGCCGGAGCTCCCGGCGGCCCAATAGAGCACAGTCCGTTCCATCCGCAGAAAGTTGCCAGTAGAAACCTTTGACGCAACGTCTTGCCGAAACCTTTTATCATTTTTTTCCAGCCAAAGTTTCCCCTCCCCAGCGCACCCGTCGCAGAGTTCCACATCCTTAACCGGGGATCACACTCACGAACGCAAGCCCAAAATCAACTGCCCTCGAACAATACCAATCGTGCGACTGCCTGCAGGCTGTCAGTCTGCCCCGCCACGCTGCCAGCATGCCGTGAAAAATCCACCGACCCGCCGTGTCAATCAATGTTCGGGGTGCGTTGCAAAGTCCTGTCTACGGGGCCTTCGGGGGGTACGCGGATGATAAGTGTCAATGGGAATGCCGCGCGGGGATGGTCTTGCCTGCCCCATGTCTTGTCGCTCGTTGATGATACACAGGTCTTGAGCCAACCGTTTTTCTCTTTCAGCCTCTGACGAAGCCACCGGGCCCAAACAATCTAAATCTGCACAGAAACCGGCCCGCACTTTAGAACTTGATAGTCAAGAACTTGAGCCTAAAAACAAAATTTCCAAAATAGAAGAACTTGACCGTAAGAACAGGTGCCCAGTCAAGAAGCTTATACTGAAACCTATATCGTCGCCGTGGGGATACCCCATAGACAAAAGACGAAACGAGGCTCCGGCAGAATACGAGGTTCTCAAGTGCGGGTCCAACGCGTAAACCAAAGCCTTACCGTGTCCAGAGGGCAGGCCCTTTTCACCTCCCGCTCGACGTCCTTGCGCGTCTTGGGGATCGGCCTTGGAGCATCTCCGGACCACGCCAACCTTCTCTCCTGCACCTTCCTTTTTTCGATGATGCCGGCCACCTTCTGGAGGAACTCCGCTCTACGTCGTTTCGCGGGACAAAAGCGCGAGAAATCGGTGCGCATTCTCAGAGTTTTTGTGGGTGGTAAGATGCCCAGCTAACGGATTTCTTGCCGTGCTGGCTCCCGGTTGTTGTTGTTGTTGTTCTTGGTGGTGGTGGTGGTGACTAAAATCTGTAGACATATCTCTCCCTTTGTGACAACACTGACCCGTCCCCAACGTGCAGGCCGACAAACAAAGTGATTCTACGCCGTCTTTCCCCTTTTCCGTGGGAATCCGGCGCAATCGAGAGATTGTTTTAGCAGCGAAGCCCGCTTCAATGCCAAGCACCTAAAACTGACCCCGTGATTGATTGGTCGTGCCTATGCAAGTTGCATTTCTTGATGTTGAGGTGCTGACGAGAAGCATTCAGGCCATCTTGAAACGTTGCTGACCACCTCGAATGCCACCGGCGGTGGGAAAGGCAGGGCTTGCGAACTGCAGAGCAGCCAAGAGCGGCAAGAGCGGATGCCGTCTTGCGCCTCAGACCATCGTAGATCGACTTTGTGAATGGCATCTCGAGGTGGCTGTGTGTGTCGCTTGCACTCTAATATGGTGAGCGATCCACGTCATCAAACACTTTCTTCGTATCCTCGCGCCACTAGTCTAGAGTATATTCAACAATTCAACTTCAACAGCATAGGCCTGCGTCATGCAAATCAAGCTTCACGACTAGTACCTCGCATCATCGTCCGCTCTCAGCGCATCAAGCCTCCCCTCGATCACTCGGGCCGAGCCTCCCCGCTCGCCTGTGTGCCTCCCGCTCCTGGGCGCCCGGGCGGCCTGAGATATCTGTGCTGGTGCCCTTTTCTTTTGCGTTGTTGCCCCAGGTGGCGCAGTTTCTGGCCGTTTGCGTCCGGACCCTTGGGCGTTTGGAGGTGCCTCTCCTTTCAGTCGGATAACCAAATAAAAGTGTGAAAAAAGCACGTCAGCGGTTTGGCCGTTTTTCCTCCGACTGGGATCATGGGGGATGTAGGATCTGATGTCAGTATTCTCCACGCGTGACAGCCGAGGCTCGGCCTTCCATTTTCGTACGTCCCTATCTATCCTCACAAGCAGATGTCCAATACAGGTGCGAACAAAGGTCCCCTCTGAAATCACGCACGCCCGGCTCGAGCGCAACCAGGGTTTGGACACAAAGTGAATACAAACACAGCGTGAATGAGAACACAACTTTGAAGCTTCACAGAAACAACTCCCGTACTTCTACATGGAGGCCTGATCAAGGTCCCATTCCTGTCAAAACATGGAGTCTGTCCTAGATGCTCTGCCAATCCACCCAGGCGTTGTCCGGGGTTACCTTGTAATATTTTTCTCTTTGAAATCGAAGTCGAAACTGAGATTAGAACCCGCAAGAGCTGTGCAGTGTCCGTCCTCTTCGAACCGGGGACACACATATCCACAGCTACCTTCTCATCATGTTACATACTAACGCCGTGCCTACTCTTCAGATTCCTGCACCTCTGTCCAATGTTTGACTTTCTCCCTCTCTTGGTGCCGTTCCGCCTCCTTGTTCAGGAACGAACGGATCTCCGGCTGAAGAAGGACGTCTCCGAACGTCCGGCAGAGATCGGGATGCCGGGAATGCCGGCGACGCCGACGCTGAACGCGGCTCGGTCAATTTCTCACCATCTCTTGGAGGAACCGTAGGCATTGCCGATGATTCTGCGGGGGGCCAGCTGTCGCCGCCGCCCCTGCTACCGCTCAGTGTTGATGCTGGCAGCGGTTGGAGACGATCGCCTTGTGCTAGTTTGGTTCGTTGTTGGCCTGTTGTTCGAGGAGCCTGATCTGGGTAGCCTGGGTCGTGTTGCAAGAAAGTGGGGAAGCACATAATCTAGGCGTGACGTTGACGGGCGATATTTTCGACGACTAACATTACCGGTGGAAGTGTGGACTTGCGCCCAGAATAGGGTAGGACGAAAAAATCATCATCACCAGCAACAACAACACACACTGTTTTCTACACGTGTGGAGCCGTCGGTAGATAACAACATGCGGAGAGTATCACAATAGCGACAAAACTATATGAAGCATGAAATTGACGCAAGCACCTCACATCGTGCTTGTTGTGCTCCCACTACCTACTGTCGGAGGAAGATATTGAGTGAATAGGTTTGATGGCATGCCGACGTGACCTCTTCTCTTCGTACATGTGTGACTCCGGGCGAAATTCTTGGTCGCGCGAAGTTGATTGGTCGAACCTTTTGGCTTCTTTCCATTGAATCTGGCTAAAGTCACCAAATCATACACTCCGGAGTAACATTTCACCATACATCCGCCCCATGAACCGTGGGCTTCTGAACTGCTACAAGAGGCGGCGCAGAAGGAGTCCTACGTTTCCCTCACTGGGCGCCGCCCCGGCTAGATGCTTCTCGAGCTCGTTGTCGTTGTGTCCACATAAAAATATTGTTCCGATCTCTGCTCAGCACCTCAAAACTTGAAACATCCGTGGTCCAACTGACGCGACCGCACCCATTGGGCACGAGGACGTCGTTTGCCCCGAGGGTGTGTTTCAAAATAGTAAGAAGTTTAAGAAACAACAAGGCATTGGGGTTCCATAACACCCCCGCGCGGGCTGCTTTGAAAGTTACACCAACTTTTCGAAGGTTCTCTCTTCGAAAGGAGCGTTTGTTTAGGAAAAATGAATTTTAAGGAGTGTACGTAGACTAAGCAATGAAATCTACAGAGTCTCTCCCATGTGTTTGCACCAGGGAACGAAGCTATACTGTACAGCAGTAGAGACCTCTCTGTTGAGTGGTCTGCTATTCGTCGTCGTATGCGTGCGAGCTGCAGTGGGCTTCCAAAACACAGCACTTTAACCAGAGAAGGGTAGGAAAGTTTCCACATGCCTTGACAAACTACTTGAGGTGGCTGGAGTACCGGAGAAATCGCAGGGTTCGTTGTGCAGAGGCAAGCGGACACGCACTACAGCAGTATACAATGTCAACCGCGGTACCTTGCAAAATATTCACTCCCTTACACCACACCTCCCATGTTTGGCGATTCCTCGTCAGATCTAGCTCTGATCCCACTGCATGCTGCCCGTATCGCGGTGTTGCGGGTTGTGGCCACAAAGCATGCTCAGCTGTGCGAGCTCTCTCGCTCTTCCGGATTAGTGGGACGCGGGGCCTCGCGGAGTCTACAATAAGCGGGACAATTGCGCACTCGTACCCGAACCGCAACAAGGCTCAAATGTATACTGGGGATTGGGGCACCGAGCATGCCACACGTTTCTCTTACTGCTGAATGCTCTGGGGATCAACTGCAGCACCAACTGCTATGAGGAACTTGGCGTTGTAGTCCGTCGCTGGGCGCAGCAACCACAAGGTTAGTTGAAGTTGCTAAAAGGAGTGATGAATGTGATTCCGCCGCGTTCTGTTGCAGCACCCTTCGTGCCTCGCCATTTGGCAGCAACCAAACATGTGCTGCTAAGCCCACTGCGCTTCCGACGAGGTACACATGCTGCATCTAGGACTACTGCGTGCCAGTCGTTACTCTGTGCCTATTTGGCGGCGTTGAGTCTATGGACGGTAAACTCTTCCACAGAGAGAGAGAGAGAGAGGGAGAGAGAGAGAGAGAGAGAGAGGGAGAGAGAGAGAGAGAGCAGAGAGAGAGAACAGAGAAAGAGACAGAGAAAGTGAGACAGCGCGAACGGCGCTAATAATTAATGCGATCGCGTGGTGGTGTTTGGTGCTCTGCTGTCGTTCTGATTCTCACAGTATGCACTCTTGTACACAACTCTGTATCCGATCCCAGTTGCGCTAAGGGCTCTATTCTAACGCTACCTTGTGCTTCCTTCCTTGTAAATCCTGAGTACATCGGTTGATTGGCTGTGCGCAGGGAAGGAGGCGACCGACACATCAAGAAGGAAGCCGTAATGTCGACGCCTCCTCTAGGACGGGCGATGACAGATGCAGGGGGCGTTTTCGACTTGGATGGGGACCCAGAAGGCGCGGAGGGACACGAGGGAGGTTCCAGCCTCCAAGCCGTCCTCGCCGCGAGCCGCCAACGAGCGGAGGCGAAGAGCGCGCAGGTGCGCTCCCGTGTGTGCCGTTTTCACGTTGAGTTCAGCGCGCTCTGTACACGCGTCCCCGTAATCAGATTACGCCCCCCCATGGCACACATACCACACGATAATAGCCGGGGTCGAGAATGGTACACGATGATGGTTGCTATGTCCAATGGCCTTTTTAATGCAGGAGGTTCATGCAGCAGGGCACAAGTTAGGATACTTCGATATAGAATGCAACAGCGTGGGTAGAAAATCCTTCGGAATGATGGGCGGCAAAACTCGCTCGATGTTGATGATACCGCTTGCGGTCGTACAGATGGACTGCCTCACAGACTCAAACCTTTTTCCCACATCCCTCCGCAACAAATAAGCAACCGATGCTGCTAACGATTGCGAAACATAAAATAATGTGGTAGTTGCAGCATTTTCTGGACTCTCATCGGACTAGAGATAGACCCATCCTACGCCGCACAAGAACTGTTTGGGTGAGGAACTAACAACGGCGTCATCGTTGTTTTACAGGAGCTACAGCTCGAACTGGAGGCCGTCAGGTTGAGGTTGCTGAGGCGGAGCCAGATCATCGATGCCCTTCGGTCGGCCTATGTCCGAGACGTCGTCATCGTCAAGAATGAGCTCATGCGCAAGTCCGCCATGACTGACGAGGTTGAATTGGTTCCTAGGCGATGGATATGTATGTTGTTGACATTTTGCTCATGTGTTATTCAAGCATTCCGACTTTAACCATCGTTACGTTTGACTTTGCGGTCAATTTGACTTCTTGCGCCTATATATCGAAGCCTTGCTTGCAGTCAGTCCCCATACCTCAGAAAAAATATGGCCAGGAGAAACGATCAACGGCAATGTCGAGCATTTTGCGTAGTGCGATTCCTGGGGCACCGTTGAAGGGCAGATGCTAAAGCACGGTACCGCTATCGTGATATCTCTCGACAGCGAAGCGCGAACCGCAAGTCTGGAACCTCAAGTCGGTTCCGACCACTCTGCGTTGGGGACAACTAATAATCGCGCCGTAGACATCTAGTAGCTACGTTAGAGCAACGACCAACAGCACTGAACAATCCGTGTTTCCACAGAGGACAATTACAGCATCACTTCTAATCCATGGAACGGCAAGATTCCCGTCAGATGGATTCCGCCCCCCCCCACCCTACCCGTCCATTCCGCCTACCCCTCCAACATCACTTCGACAAGTACTGTCGTAACACCCTCCACACGGACGCGTGTTTTGATGCCATCGAACAGGAATACGTCGCTCAGGGAGGGCCGGGCACGGACATCACCGACGCCATCCCCAGCCTGGACATGCGCCCGGTGCTTGCCCTGTTTTCCCCGGAGGATGCGTTCCTAAGGATAGAGTCGTGCACGGGCTGCGGAGGGCATCTGGAGATCGTAACCAAGGAAACCAAACGGGTCGCAAGGCTAACCAAGCGAATAAGGTTTGGCCTCAAGCTCCGGGTAGCGCGCTCTCGCGTTGTGCTGTTTTTCATCGCGTCTATTTTGGGCCCAGTGTACACACCAGCCAGGAGGAATTCCCGGCCTCTTTTTTCGCCCTGTGTTCGTTCGTGTCGATACTGCGTACGAAGTTCAGTTCATTGGAACGATAGCAATCTGTTTGCTTCTTGTCTCCCGTAGGAGCCCTCCCGCTTTTCATCAGTCTTCTGTTCACCTCTCCAACCCAGTTTCGAATACTCGGAGTACATGGTTAGAAGTATGTTACGAGCTCTTGTCTGACGCTGAGTAGCCCCCCAACCTAGCGCACTTTCATTGGGCAATGCCTCCAGCAATGAAGTCTGAAATTTGATGAACAAAGAACTACCCGCTTGGCTTCTATCGTGAAGTGTTAGGGATGTTTTAACCGCAGCGCTATTTCGCTCGAAATTTCAAAATTTCCAAAAAGAGAAAGGTTGTGTGGGCGCCGCAAATCGCCGTTCCGTGTTTTTTTTGAACGAAAAATTTGGAAATTTGAAAAAAAATCGCCCCGTTTAAATCGGCCCTAGGTTCGTGTTGGGGTGGGGATGGCCAAGACTTCCATATTCACTTGTGTGGTAAGGAAACAAGAACGAGATATCGGCACTGCTTGCGGTGTGATACACCCGCGGAGCACAACCACGAAGAAAGAACGCTCGTCACACTGCTGCGTTGATTTTTTTCTTTCGACACCATAGGAAACCGCTCTATCCCGTCTTCAAAGGAACTTGCACAAAGAAAAACGGTTCTGAGCGGACGCCACTTTCACCCTAGAGCGTACAAGGAAAAAATCTTGGTCGTGATTGGAAGTACGCCAAACACTGCGACTTGTCTGCTCGAGATATTGGAGCCATGCCAGTAAACGAAGTCATATTTAAAACGACGTTTCCCGTCTCGCTGCGGGCGACTCAACACGTTTTTTTTGCCGAGCAGCGACCTGAACGAGGCGATGGGTGAAACCGCCAAAGAAGCAGCACAACTCAGGGCCGAGCTGATACTAACGAGGCACCGTGTGAAGGAGCTAGACGAGAGGAACATAGTCAACAGAGATACCCTCGTGGCCAAGCTTGAACAGTGAGTAATGGGCCGGGGCTGGGCGACGTGGGGCAAGGCGGTCGAGAGGGGAGAGAGGGAAGTACTGGCGTTGAATTCAGCAAACGTTTTGGGCAATTTCTTCCATATTGGCGTGAGATGTTGCCTAGTACCTAGCCGGCATTTAGCCAGCAAGACATTCATGTGTCAAGCCCTAGCACACAAAGTTCTTCAGCGACGTTGACTATCACAGCACAGAAGTGGTGATAGGGGTGCTTGCGTAACCCTGGGGTGAGAAGAGGGAATGCAGGACCATTCGAACAACCGGGAACGACCCTAGACCTACCAACGACTAGACCCTTTTCTACCGTAAGCTAGCGTGTCTTCATCCGCGTTTTCACCACTCCCTCTCCTTCTCTGAAGATCATAAACCATACATGAACACCCCCCCTCGAGGCAGTTACACAGTGCTTAAAACTGTCTCCGGAAGTGAAAGCACCAGAAAATACACCAAGTCATGCAGAGCTGTCATTCGTACGCAAGGAATACCTCACGGCGCTTCGCGCATGGTGATGTGAGAGCCTGGTTCGGTGAGAACCTGGCGTGCTCCGTCCCGCCTTTGTAGGGATGCGAGGTCAATGATCTGACGACTACGGCATGCACGACTATGAGTACACCCCCCCCACACACACACACTCCTGTCGTGGCGTTATCCCCGTCCATACACACGCTTCCTTAACCTGCAGGACGCAGAGGACTTGCGAGGCGGACGTGCTTGCGCTCAAGGAGGACGCGCGCCGATCCGACCGTGCGTGGGAGGCAAAGATGGCGCGAAAGGCGAGTGGCCGGCCTTACACTCTTCCCGGGGCCACAGCAGCAATTGTTTATCCTGATGGGCAAAATATTTCTTGAACTTTCTTATACTATTGCCCATGAAGCAGTAGATAGTTATTTTCCCCCTCTTTCCTTGGCGGGTACGTTCATGACCCTGGGTGTTTACATCGTACCTTCCTTTGCCTTTGCACTATTATAGGACGAGCAACTCGCGCTGACGTGATGGTTTTCGGACGTAGAGGGGACAGCACATGCGTCACTGTGCAGCGGAGACTGTGTGCGGCATAGGCTCTATTGTCCCTGTTGTACCAACATGTTGCATGCGTATGTGATCCATACACACGTCAGACCAATACGATATTCATGGCGTTCAGGAACGACGACGCGCACCGTTTTTCGCTTTCTTCCTTCTGTTCCCCCCTTTTTAGGACGAGCAACTCACAGTGATTCCCGCGCTTATCAAGGAGAGGGACAAGTTGCGCGAGGAATTGGACCAGGAGATATCCTCCAGAGAACAGGATCAGCACCGCAAGGACGTCGAAATCGCCACGCTCAAGGCGAAGGTGGGCGGCGTGCCGAAAAATGCGAAGCTTTTCGGAAGCTAGTACGATAAGGACAACGCCACCGCACTGAGACAGCCAGTCGGGCATGTCCGAAAACTCTTGAGACAGGCAAACCAGACCTATCAAAGATTGCGATGTCGGCATTTTCACATCAAGTAAGATGTGTCAAACACAGTGAACTCGGCCCTAACCACACAGGAACTGCCCCGCGTAACGTGAAGAAAAGTTAGAAAGTGGCAGGTAGCGAAGTCACCGTGTGGAGAGCAAGTTATGACATCGCACCCGAAGTGGGTTGGTAGTCCTTGACAAGCTGTCATGGCGAAGCAACACAAACAGACATAGTTAAGTTGACACGTTTTTGGTCAGGCCAAGGAAATAAGCAACAATGACAGCGAAATCGCGAGCACTTAAGCAGGTGAATCGCAAACAATGCTGCGTCGCATTGCAGAGCTACGGTGAGGTGGAACGACAACTATGCCTGTGCAGAGAATGGGCAGAGCAGACAATAGGAAGATGGGAAGATCTGTGCGTCGAGGCTTGGGCAAGGCGGGATATGTAGCTGCTTCTTTCGTGCCGCATCGAGAGCATTGGCAGCCGCAGCAACACAACAGCTGCATCCATCAGGCCTACAATAACCGAACACAACAACATCAACAACAACATACAACGCCACCACCACCACCACCTCACTAACAACAACAACAACAACAACAACAACAACAACAACAACAACAACAACAACAACAACAACAACACAGGTGGCCCACTTGGAGTCGTCCGCGGAAGCCGACGCAAAGCGAATCCTGGAAGCCCGAAGCAAGACCGAAGATACCCAGCGCCGCCTCAACAACGAGAAGGCGGAGCACGCCGCCACGGCCGGGCTGCTGCTGGAGGAGGAAGGCAAGTACGAGCGGTGCCGGTCCCGGCTGGAGACAAGCCAGGAGCACCTGGCAGACCTGAACGAGCGGTTCAACGAGATGCGGGCGGAGGTTGAGGTGCGCCGTGTTTTAGTAGCAAAGATGTGGTATCGCATGAGTATGTATTGTGTCAGGTTCACGTTGAGTCAGAGTGCACGAAGCTTTTTTATCCTGCTCCTCGTCCATCACCGATGCGGAGGTGTGTGTAAGTGTGTAAACGACGTCGATAAAGCGACGAAGGGGGGGTGTTCGCGCGGATGTGTCATTGTTTTCTTGTCTGCTGTTGATAGGAAATGAATTTAGTACATTGTGAGAATCGCTGTCTTTTTTTTTTGCCTGGCTGGGCGGTATGGACGAAGGGTATGGACGGTGTGTCTTTCTTCATCAGCAAGGCCACTGACCCAATTCGCGTTATTGTCCTTGCCCCATGTAGTTGTGAGCAAGAGCGACACCGTGGTCTTGCGGCCGTCGTTCCCGTGAGGGCAGGGACGGGTATGCGTGAAGCACGATCCTCAGCGCCTCCGACATCAGCCATTGTCGGTTCTGCGAGTGCCCCCAACAACTAGAGGACGTCAAGAGTTTTATATTCTTCGGACAAAAAGTATTGCATCTTGTTGCATGTGCTAATGAATCTGCCGACGCAAACCGCAACTAGCCGTAACAACCGCAACTAGCCGTAACAACCGCAACAGGCTTCCGCGGAAAACGCCGAAGAGGAGGCGGGCGAGGCAAGCGACGCGCTGGCGGCGGCCAAGGTAGAGATACAGAGGCTCCGGACGGTGCTGGGCACGAGCGACGCCGCGGCGGCCCTGGAAGCCGCAACGCTCAAGATTTCCACCCTTTCGGAAGAGCTTCACGCGGCAAGGTGGGGGGGGGGGGGATGTGGTCCGTGTGCGAATGTTGTCGACTGCGTCGGTGCAACGGCTCGGTTTCGGTCGAATGGTTGTTGTTGTTGTTGTTGTCTTCACATTAAAAACCGTTCCGATCTCTCTCTACCCAGTACCTTCGTATATCCGTACTGATCCGACACTCGACGCGGTCGATTCCCGTGGTCACAGGTTAACTTACCCTAAAAAGGTACACTCAAATAAACTGGCCCCGAGGGGTCCGCAAGTCAATAGAAATCAACGACAGATATTCTGGGATCCTCTGCTCCCTCTTCGCGCTATGCGAGGTATCAACTGAGACTAGCAGTCACTATCTATCATGGGCCGGAGAGAAAGAGGTACACCCCCTTGGTTCAATCTTGGTACTTCACAACGCAAGCAGAGACAAGGCCATCTGGCACAGAAAAAGAGAGAATAAAAAAAAAAGAGAAAAAAAAAAGGAGAAAAAAATAAAAATGGAAACCGTAAGGAGAAGAGAAAATAAATGAAAATGAAATGAAAAAGGGCGAGGACAAAGAGGGACCAGGCCGAAAATAACAGGAAGTATGAGGCAGAACAATGCACACAGTGGAGAGACCACTAACGAACGAGCAAACACGCAAACATGGCCACCAACCAGCGATACATTGTAATGGTACGAAATCACTACTACTGGGGGGTTGGTGCAATGGTGCAGCGTTGGGGGGGGGGGAATTGGCGAAAAGAAATTCAATCCGGCACGTGTCGTGCCACTCGGTCCGTCTCTTCTCGTTTGCTTTCTTCCCTCGCCGTCTCCTCCGTCTCCTGCCCCCCTCCCGCCCCATTGGTTGTTGGCTTGTGGTTTCGTTTGAGCGCTTGTTGTCGGCTGGCCTCTTCTTCCTTCTCGTGCCAGGAGGTCATGAACCTCTCAGCTCCCTGTAGCACCGCCGCATGCCAGGGTGCTCCCCCCTCCACCTTCGCGGCTTCCGTCCACCTTAACTTCGGTGCCGTGTCTTTCGGTACGGGAATTCCGAGACAACTTGGGTCGGTTTTTGTAGATCCGTGGTCGGCCCCGAAGGCCTTCAGGTCGTCGAGCACACACTTCGGCCAGTTCTGTTCCTGTCCCCCCCTACGTGGCTTCTCCCCCCCCGCCAGCTCGCCGAGCATCAGTCGTTTCGGGAGTCGCCCGTCCGGCTGCCTTGCCAGTGCTCCCGCGAACAGTAGGCGTCGTTGTCGGATCAATGGTATGCAGATGTGGCAAGGTGCTTTTTACCTTGAACACGAAAAAACATGTTTGTTCACGATTTACGCTGGCTTGTTGTTGTGTGGCTAGCTTACGTTAGGTCTGGGACTTACATAAAGCCCAATCTCTAGTGTTTCGTTATCGATGTTCTTGAGTGAGGCTAGACATGGTTGCAAGGGAAGCTGTGCAATAGCAACCTCAATAGGACCGTGTCTGGAAGGGTGCAGGTGCTCGCTCATGCGCAAAATGTTTTCGTTTGCTCTTTTTTCTTCTGCATGTTTTTTTCTTTTTCGACCCCTACCCCTGGCCTTCCTTCTTCTCCATTCAACTCCAACACGAAAATGAAGTACCTGATACATGCCGTCAATGCGTCGCGACGCTCACTCCCACTCGAGCATCAATCGTGTGTTTTCGTGACAAGGTCCGAGGCTCGAGAGGCAAATGATGCGCTCCAGGAAGACCGAGAGAAACTCAAAGGCGCCCAGGCGGAGGTGATTGCGCCGTTCATTTGTGAGGCCTCCTCGAACGTTGAAAGTTTACGGTGCCACGCGTGTTGTCCTGGTTCTCTCGGAGCGTCCACTGATGAATTTCAAGAACTGTCATACTTCAGACTGGTGTGGGAGCTTGCCTTTGTTGGGTTTCCTTCGTTGCAGCTGCTCGACGGTCGAGGAGTGCGTGGGTTTGAATTAAATGACAAGACTCACAGCTGGCGGTGTACAGTCGTGGCTCCGATATAAGAGGGTACCTTTTAAGAGGGGGCTCCGATATAAGAGGGTCCCAAATCGGTTGTCACGACTTCGGCCCTCTATAGTATAGTTGACTACTCTCTTATTCCGGCATAAGAGGGGGCTCCGATATCAGAGGGTCCAGGGCTATTGTCACACCACCCTCTTATATCGGAGCCACGACTGCTGTATTGAACCATGGGCCGTTCGGATGTGGGAACAGCAGGGTGGGGAGGCTCGCTTGGCAGTGACACATATGTTTGCCGGCAATCATCAGGTAGTCCGATGTTGCCCGAAATCTCACTTAGGAATACAGAAGTTATACGTAAACAACGATTTCCCTCTCTGTGTGGCAGATAGTTTTTCACCGTTGTTTTGCAAGGAGCGTACGCTTCGTGTCCAAACGGGAAACTCTGTGTGAAATATCATCCCAACCCTTTGAGACGAGTAGAAATCACGTATTTTCTCTACTCGTGCCCGTTCATATTTTTCCCGTAGCGAAGTACAACCCTTGTCCTCTACTACTTCTTTCTTTATTCTGCTCAAAATATCGAACGTGACCAGCTGGACAAGTCGAAATCGCTCCGCTTGTCCAAGGCGTCCATGCTCTCTGACAGAGGCCGGCAGAGTTCCGATGGAGGACTGAGCTGGGCCGGGTCCTTCATTGAACCGTTTGACGACGACGAGTTGTTGTACGAAGGGGAGAGGCAGGGTCGGATGTCGTCGGCTATGGCGCCGGGAGGAAGAAAATTCGAGCAGGGGAAGTGGGTAAGCTCTTCAGGCACGACGAAATCATGTTTCCTGCAGAACGTGGCACTACCTAAAAGAATATCGTATTTTGTGCAGCCCTCGCTTATGTTGAGCGCGGAAACCAACATGGAAAAGCTTTAGTTTCATACCCATCTGCGATCCGACGACACAAATAGTCTATACTCATACATCTTCCGTGCGTGTGCTAGGCGTCGTTCACGACCCGTTTGATTTTCTGGCCAATGGAGGGCGACACAGAACTGGTCCAAACGCTGGCGGCAATCGCATCGTCCCATGGGACTCTCCCGCCCCCGCAGAGGGCCTCTAAAGGCGGAAAACGTACGCGTTTCGACAGATCTCTGACTCAAAATAGCCCCGGTCACTCAAACCCGTACCCTTCTGAACCCAAACGGTCGAAAAGTGGATAGCTTAGGTCAGGTCTCGCAAGCGTTTTCCCCGACTTGCTCCGTCCCTCACTCAAATCCGTACCCCTTTTACACCCGAACCCCCAAACATCAGGCGGTCGAGAAGTGGATAGCTTTGGTCAGGTTCCGCAAGGCCGTGGACGCGCATAACGCGGAGGTGACGCGTCTCCGTACGCTCCTGCGGATTGCGCAGGGGGGAGACGAACGGTCCCGCCTGGAGTCGGAGCTCGAGGTCATGTCCAGCAACCACAGCCTCGAGGACATGGAAGATGCCATGCACAAGGAGGTGCGACCTTGTTTTAATTCTTACAACGAACCAACAAGTTAATCTCTTCCGCAGATAGGAATTCGGGATCTTGTTCGTGTGTAGATGGGCATCGTTGTTGGTTCTACATCGCCAACCGTCAACTAATAAACAACAGCTGCGGTCCCAAATTGGTTATTCAGTCCTGGAACATTCTTCTGTTTTTTTGCACAACACGTTGGCCTGCTGGTTACGGCAAACTACGAGAGAGAGCGGGCGGCACATGCAGGGGATGAACCCGTTGGGTGCTGGACCTTCTCGAGAACGCGCATGTGCAACTTGGTAACGATTCATTGTTTCGACTGTATCTACATGAGGCAAGAATGTTCTCACGCGCTTGGTCTGGTCGTCGCCGTTCTGTGCAAAGCCTTTCAATAAGGTATGAACCTAAGAGGCGAGTAGCCAATGCTATCGAGGTGTACACCCTATGCTAAGACGACTCCTGCTACTTGTGCGAAGCAAACCAATGTCGTGAGGGGTGCTACCGCATCATCACCGATTCGTGTTTTTTTTGCTCGACCGCTCATGCAGGTGGCGGCCCTGAAGTTGCAAGCGGCAGGCCAGTCGGACGGAGGTTCGGAAAGGAACCGGGCGAGGAGCTCGGCCGGCCTTGATGGCGCCGCGTGGGAGGCAAAGCTAGCCGAAAGCGCGGAGGCCCAGCGCCTCGAGTCCGAGCGGCAACTCGCCGACCTGGCGGCACTCCACGAACAAACCGTCGAGGTCGGTGCTAATAGTCGTGGATCATGCGCACATGCGATCAAGATATTAGCCAAACGTCCAGGAGGTATTGTTACCCAATGGAGAGATTTTGAAACCCGAGGGAGGTTCAAGCGATACCGAACGGCAGCAACCCAGCCAGCCGCACATAGGCTTTGGGCATTTCCTAATTTTTCATTCTTTAGGGACGCAACAGATGTAATCCCAAAGTTTTACGGTGGACATTTGTCAGGGGCTCCGGTTGGAGCTGAGCACGGAGAGGGAGAATGTCGAGAGGTTGGAGTCGGAGGCCGAGGAGTCGAAGGAAAAGCTGAAGAGGCTGGCCAAGCTGGAGAAGAACGAGAAGGGGCACAACGCCATGACGGAGGAGCTCAAGAAGATGGAGGAAGAGACGGGAATTCGCGTGAGAAATATGTTGATGGTTTGCATGGTAAACGCAGGGCTTTGCCGTGAACAGGGTTGGCGTTCTCTGTAGAAGATGGTGGTCTGGGCAGAGGGAGACACGGGATGCAGCGTGCGCAGCATTGTTTATCGTTTGCACATTAGTGAGCGACCCTTGTAAGGTCGAAGAGACGGAACCTTACGTATGCCTAGATACAATGATTCCTGTAGCATCAATACCATCCGACAAGCTAGAGGGCGGGAAAAGTGGGACTGACCGTGAACTCAAATGACAATGGCATCGTCCATGCCACGAAGCAACGTGAGCGTGTGTGAGGCGTTTCCTGGAGTTGTATTCGATCGATAGGTTGTTGCAGGGTGGATAACACGGGACGGAATCGACCTTGACCCGTGCTCTGAAGTTGACCGCTGGACTCTTTGTCCGAGCTTACGATCACGCAAGGCCTTGCAGCCTTTCCCATTGTCGCGAATACGCCCGCCTGCCGACACGACACTGATGAACCAAACCACCCAAAGCATGTCAATACTTCCGACCCAGCTCCTGAAGCGTACCGTTTCCTCGTCCGAACAGGTTGGATTCGATTCCTCGTTGGAGTTCAACACGGTGGAGGGCGATTTGAGCAAGGAAGACGAGGTGAAAACCTTGTCGAAATGATTTCAGTTTCAACCTTGTGGACCATCCCAACCGCACCCTTGCCCAAAACGTTCAGTAATGTCGAATTTTTAAACCCATCTTCGACAAGAAGTGCTTCTTATTAGGATTGTGCACACCTTGGTTGTGGTTGAATTTGGGAGATGAATTTTTCAAGAACTATCTGATTGGGTTAACGGCATGTGGGGCAGTAGGAAATAAGCAAATGGTGATAGACAACACTCGATTCGTCGGTGAGGGATTGAATGGGAGGAAGCAATAGTGGCGTCAGACGACAAACTGATTCTAAGGCTGTTGACGACGCATGTACGGGCCCAGGCTCGTCTGATCGAAGAGCTCGACAACGCTCGGGACGAGATCAAGAACATCAAGATGAGGCAGGCCATGGTGACGCACGAGCTGCTGGGCAACATCAAGGTCGCGAACGCGGAAGTCGAGATGCTCAAGGTGGCGCTGGCCGACATGACCGCGCAGCGTGACGCCCGCATGGACATGGGCACCCTGGCCGGGATGGGTTCCAAAAAGTCCGGGATGAACCCGGAGGAGTTCCAGTCCCTCAAGGTTAAATATTACTTGAAAATAGAATAGGTTGTACAACAAAAGGTTGCGTTGACTTGTTATTCGCCACGGTGGAAGCAAATTCATCCAAGTTGCACGCTGGTGGGTTTCGCGGACTCTGCATTCCGTGGCTTTGTCTTCCCTGCCCACAGCGTGTCATGGGTTTGGCGGGTTTTGTAGCTTTTGTCATCCCTGTCCCGCTCGGAGGTTCTACCGAACGTACGGTCTTGCTTCTACGACTAAAGATCTCCGATCGGGGGCCATGCAGACAGGCGCCTCGCTGTGCTTGCTTCCCTTTCTCATAAAACGAGAACGAAGCAGTTCCTTCCCTCACGTTTGCTCATAGACAAACGATACCCGAAGTTGGTAGAAACACGAACGCGACCCGCTGCGCCGGGATTGGAACTGCCAACCCTAGCAGCCACGAGGTTACCTCGAGGTTTTCAACTACAGTACTGGAGCGACGGTAGTCTGCGCACGTTGCTTCGTTTGCTCCTGATACCACAATCAGCAGCGGGGATGCAGGGTAGCACTTTTCGGAGACTGGCATTGAGTGGTTCGATGCCCTATGGTATTCAGTACATTAGTGTGATAGTTTATCCCTTCAGAAAGACACAAAAAAAAGAGGAGACACAAGACACGCCTACTTGGTGGTCTTGAAAGGGCCTCTCCGTTGTAGCGAGAGGATATCGCGTGATCTCAAACAGCACCCCAGAGCAAGGGACGTAGCCAAACTACTCGATCAGGCAACACACGTCATGCCACAGCGAAGAAGCTTCGTATGCATGGCGACGACCTGCAATCCGAACCGTTTCCTTTCTTCTGGTTCTCAGGAGGAGGCGAAACTCCAAAAGAAGAAGAACGCCTCCCTGAAGACAGAGTTGGAGGAGACCTCCAAGGCGCTGTTGATGCTACTGGAGGAGCTACGAAAGTGAGTGCGATACGCCGTGCACAACTGCAAGGAAGGTAGATGCACAATATGATAAGGATACGCGCAGAATCAATATTTTTTTCGTGTGTGTTTGCTGTGCCTGGTTTGAGGCAGCCCCATTGCTGGATCCCGACGTTTTGGCGGCGTGACCCCTGCTCGGGGAATTCAGTATACACGGAATAAATTTCGCCCCAATATATCCTCCTCGGCCGTATCCACGCCGCCAACCACCCGCCCCCAACGCTCTCAAGAGTATCCCCGCTTGCCCTCTGACGCAAGGTCTTGCAAAGAAACGGCGCGGGCGAAGGCCAAAGTATGGAACGCGAGAGATCTGGAGAGAGCCAGATCTATCCCCCCGCCCCCGAAGTCCTCAAGAGTCCTTGGAAGCGAGGACAACGCCGCCGCCGGCGGGGTGAAGGGGTCGACAGCCACACGCCGACCGCCGCAGAGAGGGAGCGTTGCAGGTGGTGGTTCTTCCAGATCGCTGTCTTCCAAGGACCGAGGGAGGTGAAAGTGGATTCCTCGCAGATCCGTTTTGAGCCGTCTCTTTTGTTTTCGACGAAATAGCCGTCGCTGTAATTGTTTTTTGGGGGGGGGAGGACGCGCAGTCTTGATGTATATCGGTGGCTCTTGCTGTAAGCCCCAGCGAGGTGGAGGGCGAGTTTTCTGAAGTTTCTTCGCCGTGTATCGTAGCTTAGCTGCTCTTGAGTCGTTGCATAGGTTACATGCTGCTGTTCTTTTCACGCACGTCGATCGCACGACCGGTGATGGGAGAGTTTAGCGCTCGGACCGGGACGAATTTTGTTAGTGGTACTACCCACCACATCGACACTGTGCGATAACGGAGCTCCATTGCCAGTAGTAGCTCTGCACAACCACACGCGTCGACAAGCGTATCTCACATAGTACAAGACACGAAGCGACCAACGGACCTCGATCGACGCTGCGATAAGAATTCCCCGCACAACTAACCACGTTGGCAACAGCGGCCGAGATGGAGGCGCGAACGACCGCAAGGGCGGCGGTAGAGAAGGAGAAGGGGATAGGGGCGGGGGTAAATCTCGCACCCCGGATGAAGAGGAAAAGGAGGCGGAGCTGGAGAAAAGGCGGCAGGAGAGAGCCGCGCAAGCCGAGGCGAAGTGAGTGGCATCTTGGATGACAGTGTTCGTCCTTTAGACTCATGATTGTAGAAGCTCCCTATGTCAAGTGAGTGGCGTGTTTTGATGACGTCGTTTTCTAACGGTTTGGGGTACATACGTGTCCGTGAGATCTGTTGGACTCGTGGTTGGAGAAGCTTCTCGGTTAATTGTTTTTCTCTCTTCCCCTCCCGTTCTCTCCCGAAAAACAAATCAGGAAACAATTGGCGGAGGCGGAGCAGAAGGAGCTGGAGGAGTTCAAAGAGGCGTGCTTGTTGCCCCAGACGGAGGGAGTCGCATTTGCGGCGGACAAGCTAGCAGCCGTGCAAGCCAGCGTGAAAGAGCAGTTCAAGGATGTGTTCCTGGAACTGAAGGAGGCGCTCGAGGTGCGTCCATTTATTTTCCGTTCCCGATCTCTTTTCTCGGGTCTGAAGAAGATAAAGCTCGCCTCCACTAGAACTCCCAGACTTGCGTGCACTTACGATCTATTCAGAAATGCGCCCGGCCAATCTACATGGTGAGCGCTAATGTCGCCCGGGGACGGCCCCCTCCGACTTGACCGACCTAGGTCCAGTCCTCTCCAGACTTGTCCACTCTCTCGACCTATTCAGACGTCTGAAACAGGGCTCACCTACACTAAAACTCCCAGACTTGTGCACTTACAACCTGGTACTTCTGAATTGCGCCCCTCCACTCTACACAGTATAAGCGCTAACGTCGCCCGGCGAAAGCCCCCTCCGACTGCTCCGACCCAGGTCCAGACCTCCCTGGTTTTCCCGTTTCATGTACCACGGATTTGGAGCTCTTACCTGGCAGAAAATCCGCGAGCGCTAATTATTTAACGTGATTCACAAAAAAAAACAAATGTGCCGCCACTCCGACGATCGAAACCAGGCCCACAAGAAGTTCGTATTGAGGACGAGGGTAGAGGCGAGGGAGATCACCGGAAAGATGAACGCCCTCGAGACGGAGCTGGACAGGCTGCGGGGGCTGCACCACTCCACCCAGGAGGAGCTGCGCGGGAGAAGGTAGGTGTGTGCGGAACCCCCGCGTCATCGCGCCGGCACAAGCAGCACGCGCCGTCTTTTGGTGAATTTCGGCGAATGAACTCTTCGTGGTGCCTTGATGGTATCTCGGGATTTGGGCCTGAGGGTAACGTTGGGTGGGAAGGGCGACATGTTCCTTTTCGGTGAAGGGACATGAAGTTGTGCGTGTTAACCTGTCGGTTTCATCCCGCCGTCACTCCCACCAAAGCTCCTCAGCGAATGGTTCAAACGCGAAGGGCTACCGCACGAGGTTCGACGCCCGTGAATACCGGCCCGGAGAAAAAGTCTTTAAGAGAGCGCACTGGGCAATGACACTGTTCAGGACGGCAGGACTCAAGGCCGAAACGAACGCTGGGTCCTCAACGCAACAACGTCCTCGAATCTCTTGTTACATTCCCAGTACTTCGTGACCGGGTCTACCCCTCAACAAACCTAAAAATACATTACCCCGCCGCCGCGCCCCCCACGATCGACTGCCGGCTCAAAGTGCTGTTTTGGCGCAGACCCAACAGGACCTGAGCGCGGAAAGGAGCGCTTTGGCAGCTACCCGCAAGGAGCTCGCCGCAGCTCAGGCCGAAGCGCGGGGAAATTATTACTTCAAGGAGAAGTAAGTGGACCCCAAAGAAAAACCGCCAATTGCGAAGGCCGCCCCACCCGCGCCTTTCTACTGCCCCCGCCGACCGCACTTGTTTTTTTCAAGAATGAGATGGCCTCCGTTAGTTCAGGCCGTGGGTCAAGGGGCACCCCCTGTTCGCTGTTTTTGCACGCTACGTGCTGTCCCCATTCGTGGACACGGGCTCCAACCCAACAGCTGGAACACAGAGATACAACTATGTTTGTTGGACGCTGATAGAACCTGTGGTCTTCTTCCTTGCATGCCCCTGGTTCTCTTGCTTAGATTCAAGCCCCAGCTGATCACGTGCCGCTTGATCTTGTCTTGCTGACATTCCCTGGGTGGGGCACTAGCATGGCCTGATTCCCCTGATAGGCTGCCCCGCACGACTCCCTGGCTTCCCTACACCCCTCGCTCACGCCCTGTTGCTGTCGTGACTCGTGTGTGCCCCGGTTGCAACTCTACTTCTTCTGCGTGCATTTTTCTCCCCCGTGTATGATATGACACCGGAACCTCCAAAAAGAAACGCGGTCCTTCAGAAGCAGTGGGACCACGCTGAGATCTCTTCCAGACGGGCAAAGCAAGAATGCGAGAAGGTATTTCGACCAGCACTCCCCACTACACAATCTAGGTTAGATGGACTACTATCCTTGCATCTTGGCGGCCTCCTGTTCTGAGCGCATACATGTATAGCTGAGGCAGAATGCCGATCGTCTGAAGCTTTTCTTCTATAGGTTAAGATATCGTATGAGAATAATCCCACAGAATCGAAGTAGCTTTGTCCCATGATCGAAACATCCATACGTTGGTTCCACCCTCGCCATGCGTCATTATCCAACTCATTACTCATTTTTCAAAGTTGACCATTCGGAGTGTTCTTGTTTTCATAATCCACCATTTCGGAATGGTCTCGTTTTCGGGGCCCTCCCTTACACGTCAAAAACCTCTGTTTTGCAGGGGATACTTCGTGGTGTCTTTGTAGGGATGCCACCATGTTTTTGTGCCACCAAAACCGAAAAAAAAAATGCCCACACCAAACCAAACCTAATCATACCCATTGAGTATATGGTAGCAGGGAAGCGCCAGGCTTGGAAGGAAGTTTCAAACTTGGACCAATAGCGCTCGCTCTTCTTCGTGCCCAGGTGAAGTGGGAGCTTGAGGAGCAGAGGTCCACCCTCCTCCACTTCAGGAAGCTTGCGGAGGAGGATGAGAGAAGAGCCAAAGAGTTTGTGGAGGTGGAACAGGCCCTCAAGGTGAGTTAAGTAAACTGGCGTTACGTCATGGGGAACAACGGAAGAGTGTGCGACTTTGTCTTTCGTGGAACGGGGGGGTTGGTAGAACAACCAGCCGTGGTTCCAATATGACCGTGCAGAAGCGGTTCTAGGTTCGACATATCCCATCCCTTGTACTCGCGTTCGATTCAGTATTCGTCCAGGGACCATGGCCCTCAACGCCATCCGGTAGGTGGATTGCTGCAGAAAAGCAGTGCATTCTTCTGATTGCAGTGGTCCGCTGCAGAAACCAATGCATTCTTCGAATACAGCAGTTACAGCGCGTTGTCCTTGAACGAAGAACAGTCACCAACTCGTCAGACCGTCGTCGTCCAGCCTGCCGGGACGACTGCACCCCGCGGACTCCTTCCTTGAAGGAAAACAGTTGGCTGGCCTTCTAGACACCCTTTTCTGCTCTCCCTCTCCCTCTCTCTCTCTCTCTCTCTCTCTCTCTCTCTCTCTCTCTCTCTCTCTCCCACCAGACACATAACTTCGTCTCTGGTACAGCGTTGTCAGGGTCAATGCCAGTTCCTCGTCAACATGCATACAGACCTGTTTGAAGATGATCATGGGGGCAGACTGGGCCTGTGTCATGGCTGAATGTGCGTGCGCTTGAAGTAAAGTACTTTGTGGGATAAGTCGTGTCTGTCTGCTTGACTGTCTACCTGCCCCCCTGGCGTCTATCTGCATGTTTGTCTTGTTTTCATCAGACGAAGGTCGAATCGCTGGCAGCAAGGCTTAGGAAAGCAGAGGACACGGCGGAGCGAATCGAGCAAGATCGCAAGTCCAGGCTCGAGTCTCTCACCTCTACAGCATCGCAGGTTGGTTGGTGTTGCAGTCGGGGATTGCGCCTTTGTGTGCAGAGTCAGATACGAAGTACTTTCATGTATTCGGCCCTGGTTGACTAACTGAAGCTGGACCCCAAGCCAGACCACTCACGCACGTCCACGAGACCGGTAGAAACGACGTTTTTCAGATTGTATTGGTTTATTTCGCTCTGCCATCTAGTGCCATATACTTTCATACTCGTGATTGTGTTGGGGTGTTGTGTGCTACGAATCCCTCGAAACTTGGCCACGAAGAACGAGCATCGAGTTCCTTGAACCGCGAGTGTCGAGAAATCTTTGCGGGTTCGGACGGTGTGACATGCACGAACCTTCCTTGCTTGCTTGCCTTCAACTTTGCTGTCAGAGAAGGTCCCTTGTCCTGCCGCATTGAATTGAGGATCTACGTCTGAGAGCGGCTGTTCCTATTGCTAGCCCCACATAGAGGTGGTGCGATGAGTTTCGCACACGACTTTTCCAAGTCTCCCCATCTCACAATCGCCTCAACTGCTGTAGCATATGTATTGTGTTCGTGAATAAGTGTGCCCGGGAAGAACGACGCATCGAGGAGGTGTCGGCACACGCTGTTTTACAGCTGGCCTTGATGGGCGGTGCAAACACGTAAATGACTGCAATGTTCTGCAGGTCAACGGCTACAACGACCCTGATCTCCGTCTAGGAACACCGGGGTCAACGCAGACGGAATTTCACTGCCCTCCGATGACGTTAAGGTGCGGGACAATATGGTGATTCCGTCAGAGATTGCAGCCAACGTGCTTACCTTGCAAAGAAGCCGCAAAGGTTAATGATGGACATCTCATATTCTCGTCGAACAGTCAGAACGCCAAGTGGGAAGAGATCTTCGAGATCTTCGGAGTATGCAGCAAGCTTAACCACCATGACACGAAACGTTTAGTACGAGGTCCCATCTCGTGTGTTGTTGCAAGGGTGCAGGAAAGTTCAAATTCAGGTGTGCTCGACCGTTCAAACGTGTTCCCCTTGGCTGCTCCCATGAACATAGCCCGAGCGTGTGGTGGAATGCCTTGCTCGACGTAACATGGAAACCTCCTCTGGGTGCGTGGCGACTTCAGGCCATCCAAGCAGAGCGCTCGCAGTAAGATCCCGAAAGGTAGAAGTAGTGACACTCCTCAACGCGCCCGGCCCGACCGTTCGCAATCGAATCAGGAGAAGCAACTATCAGGCCACAGTCTCAACCCGAGCCGCAAGCGCTGGCCCTACCAAAGGCGGCATCTACCACGAGGGTGCGACGTTAGGGTTCGTCTGCCCTGGCGTAGACGGACGGGCAGTCGCGTCCGAACGTGACCTCTACAGCCCCGGAGCTGGTTCGGCGGTAAGAACGGACGAGTTTTTTTTGCAAGCGGGCACCGCTGTGGCCATCGTGTTTGGCGGTCTCCCGGGTTGTAAAATCAATGGGTAGGTATATTGATGGGGGAGAAAGAATTGCGAAGTGTTCTCCCAGGGAGCTCATCAGCACGCTAGTCTCTTCACGGGCGGCGTGCTTATCACGCTACCCACGGCAAGCTTTCGATGCAAGTTGCTCTAATCAAAAGGGGCTATATCTCACTATACCCCACTCGGATTGCCGAATCTCCCATCACCCCCTTCCGGGAACCACGTCCTTTGCGATCGCCTTGTCAACTCACACCATTCTCGAGCGGGATGCTTAGGGCGTGTGGTCTAAACCCCGCTCCCTTCAAGTTTGTGGTGAAATTTATCCAAGGTATGATCTACCACCAACACTACAGTACATGCGTACTCCACGAAATGAAGTTAAGCCGGGACGCAAGGCGGTCGACAATACCCTAGACCTCCCTTGCCCCCGTTGCCCCAACGTCCGCTGGTACCGGTCCCCGATGCTGGGTTCCCTCCCTCAGGAGCTGTTGGGGGTGCAGGGCTCCGGCACAGTCGACACGTTCAGCAGCAGCGCGCACGACCTTGATGCTCACAGCGACAGCCTCAAACAGCTTTCTTTCCGGTCCCCAGCGTGGGCCATAGCAGGCACGGAGGTCTCCCTCAGCGCCGGAGAAGCAGCCATATCCAAAGCCGACAGCTTTGTGTCCTCAACTGAACAGCACCGAGCAGGCGGCGGAGGCGAGGCACAGAACTGGGGGCTGTGGCACGAGGGCGGAGGAGCCGGGGGGGGTGCTGACGTGGCCCTCGAAGGGTTCTCAGAGACGGAGGTCGAAGGTCACAGGTGAACGATGCGTAGACTGTAGGCAAGGGCGGTCTCTTCATGCGTGACGTCGCATGAGTCAGTCTGTTAGGGGAAACGTTGACGTCCTTCCGCCGCCCTTGGATACTTTCCGAGAAAACGTGCCGGAAGACCTTTGCCCGTCTTGCTTTCGTTCATGGCAACGGTGATTTCACTTCCACCAAGCCGAAAGTGAAACAAAAATCTCGTCTTTGAACATCAACCAACCTGCCGTCGTCCTGCGCTTCTAACCCCTTGCCCCCGTCCCCATCGCCTATGGCATCAACGAAACAACCGCTGACTGGACCACACTCCAGAAGCCCCACCGCCGCCTCCGGCAGAAGACCAGGGACAACATCGGGTTGTCTGCCCGCGGCCAACATGCCGAAGACAACGACAGTCGCTCATCGCCCCCAAACCTCCCCAAGCGTGGTGTTTTTATCTGATGCACGGGGCAGCGGTTCCGAGACAGAGGGGGGGCGGAAGAGCCCGCCCCGGCGGATGCACAGCCGCGTCCTTCTGCAAAGCGCCAGGGATCACTCCCTCCCTCCGCCCCACGGCGGTGCGGGGCAACAGCATCAGCCACGTCGACAGGGCGATGCCTCCGCCCGTGGAACCAACCGACGCACTCCCGTGAACAACAGCGCTTCTTGCTCTTCCGTGCCTACCGTTGCAACCACTGCCCCGGGGTTGGCGAGCGAACGGCCAAGAACGTCATCTGCCGTCCTCACCAGCAGCCGGAGCGGCGGCGTTCCGGATGGCTCAGCAACGCAAGGAAGCGCCCCTGGTGGTCGCGATGGGTTCGCCAATGGGAATGATTCGCGGTGGTGGCAACGAGGGCTCCAATCCAACCATCAACATGTCATAGACTTAGGGGTCGTGAGCGACACAGTGCCCCGACCTGTTGTGTGGGGAGAGCGGCAACTGGCGGCCGCGGCGGCGGCCGCTTCGGGACGGTCGAGAAGCGCAGGCGCGGCGGGGTGGTGGAGGGACGGAATGACGAAGGGGGGTGTGGTGTTGGACGCGAGATTTGCCAAGGTTAGGAAGACCCTGAGAGGCGACGTGCTAGATGCGGCTGAGAGGGCGAAGCTCCCGCTGTTGCAGTAGTATTGCCCAAAGCTCGCATGTTTTCTTCGCGTCACGCTGTGTTTTGAAACCATGCGGGAGTTGTTTGAGACATTGTTCAGGAAAATTCGCGCACGTTCTCGTGAGGTTGTGTGTGCAAGAGCGAATGCCGCGTACGTACCCAGATGGCCTTAAGCACGGGGTCGTAAAGTATGTGGAGAGATGCGAGCTCTCTCTGCAGCAGCTCCTGCATACGACGTGAGAAAAAAACGTGATGCAAGTGACGCCCGATCTAGACACGCAAAGCACGTGTTGTTGATAAGCAAACCACGCGGTGCGATCACGATCTGTCACTCAGAGCACAGCGTATCCGCTCGGGGTGCGTTGCGAAACGGCTTACGCTCCTCGTCGCAATCAACCTCCGTGAGAGAGTTGTGGAGTTCCCAGAGGGCGAAATTCATTGGAAAATGTACCTTATTTGGTCGCAACAGATCGCAAGGAAAACGAAGTAAGAGGATGTGGGGCGCCCGGGGGCTGCACCATCCGAGCAAAGCATACAGACCGAAACACACTTGAACGCGTATCCAAACGTGGTAACCAATCAGATGATAAGACCCCTTGGGCAGGTAATATCTGACTGACGTCGTCTCGTGCTTGTACGAAACGTACTCAAGGTAAGATCCAACTGTATGCAATGCGTCAACTAGTCGCCAAAACAAGTATTCTGGCGACGTACCTATGTGCGTGCGTATTACGATTCAGCAAGCTGGGCTACTCAGAAAGGCAGCTGCTGACCACACAAACGCCAAGAACAAACTCAAAGTTCACCAGAGGGAATTTCTTCTAGAACAAAACAAGACCAAAACAGCACAGGCCCGCTCAGTAAGAAACATCTGACAAGAAATGGTTCAATGGCAAACCGTTGTCGTCAGTGCGGCCATTCTCAAGCTGCATAATCTCGTTGCGTTGTGCGCGAGGTTTGAGAAAACAAGCGGGGAGGGATTCCCTTTGCACGCAAGACGTTGAGGGCAGGACAGGCGTACCACTACCGTATACTACACAAGATCACACACACCGTGGACCGATTTTCAAAGCTCGATTACTCCACGACGAAGAGGATGCGTAAATAGACGAAACGATACGTTTTCGGAGGGTTCTCGACCAGACGGCTTCAACGCCGCCGTTTTCGTCGCTGCGACTCTCTCTGCCGTTAATAAATCGAGCTTTGAAAATCGGTCGGGTGTGTGTTATCTTGTGTCGTATACGGTATTCAAGCATAGAACAGACGTGAAAAAAAATACCAGCGGGAACAGAGGACGCTGCATAATGTCTGCCAAAAAACTTCATCTGCCGGTCTATGACCAGTTACGAGGTGCTTGGCCCTAGAGGAAGTCAACACGTGTAACGCGATGCCGCGGGTCGTGTACCTCCACGACCACGGGGGCAATTTGTCGGCATGGAGGTGCACGACCCGGGGCATCGTGTTACGCGTGTTGACCCCTGTGACCGTCGAGTCGACATTCATGCGTTCTCGTACGCATGACTGACTACTGATTACAGCAAACCAATGGGTCAGATCAGAACGGGGTGATAAATGCGATAGGATCCGCTCAGCCGTCTTCTGCCACAGGCAAGTGTTTCCCAGCATCCAGAGCGTCTTGAGTCCACTTCCCGACTACGTTCCGGCCCGTTGCCAAAAAATGAGCGAAGTGGGTGTGGAGGCACTTGATATGGCGGGGCTGAACTATGCCTGCCACTCCGTTGGAGAAAGACTTCTCCCACCCTTGCCGCTTGATGGTATCCACGTCTTCTGCAGAAAGCAAAGACCACCGTTCCTCGGCATAGCTCTTATGGGCAGCTTCCATGTCTGCCATGATTGCTGGGTCAGCCTGAAGACAAGCAGGACAGGACAGCGGTTGGAGATCGGTCTTGGGAACGGTCTTCTTGGTTCGTCGATTCACGAAGAGGCCCCGTCTCACAAAACAAAACAATCACGTATTCCGTCACCGCCCAGAAACACCGTCAACACTCTAGGCAAAGCCGAAAGCGCCACCTTAACATTACTGCTGTTGCATACATATGCGCATAGGCCGTACCGTAGCCGACAACTCACACTGCACTACTACTATGTCGTTCCACCAGTCAGGCAGCATCGCAAGACAGTCGGAGCACCTGCAATCTTCGCTCCCATTCAAGGATGAGGCCTTGGTTCTCCAGTTGCGACACAGCCGCCTTCAGAGATGGGCACGAGAGCCAGTACATCGTCGGGAAGGGCTGGAAAGTGACACGGAAGGATGGCAACGGAGGGCCAGACGAAACACGACGAAGAAGAACGTGCTCAATTCCTCGGCGATTTCGGACGCGAAGCGTTTTCCTCGCGATCACAGAAAAAGAAGGGTCGAAACATTCGCAGCAAACAAACTTCGTGTCATAGATACAGCAGACTTCCTCTTTTACAGAACAGACAAAATAGGTCCGAAGTCTGGTTTGCGCAGAACTACTGCTGTACACTGCAGATGACAGCAACCGACGTGCTTTCCTAGCGCGAGTACTCACTTGTCGCTCGGCATTACGGGCCCGCGCACCCTTCAGTGAGACCGCCAGTGGATACAGCCGCAACACCGTAGGCTCTCCTGGATCATGAGAACAAGCACAGACTTTCAGGTATACCACATTCTAAAGAGCACAGGTGGTCCGCTGGAAACTTACGTTGGGGCCATGGTCATGAAAGGCTGCTTGGCTGGGGGGCGGTGAACGCTTCAGGTGAACCATGTTGGACGTGCGAGGTGCACAGTAGTGCATTCCCTTGCAATGTTGGCATGTTGGCCTAGATTGGAGAGATGTCCCATAGGTTTTGTAAATGAAAAGTGTGCCTACCGTCTACCGCAGTACAGCGTATGTACCGTGAGGTGACACAAGGTACCACACCCCCTGACCGACTTTCAAAGCTCGATTTCTGCACAACAGAGTGGCCGTGCCGGAAAATGGCGGCGTTGGAACCATGTCGTCGAAATCTTTCCAAAAACGCATCGATTGAGATTTTTAACCCCCTTCTTCGTGGTACAGTCAGTCTAAATAGCTTTGAAAATTGGGAATCGGTCCAGGGGGTGTGGTATCTTGTGTCACGGTAGTCATTCTGACGGCGTACAGCAGTACACGATGACATTTGTCTCTGGTACCATGCAGTACAGTATTACAGTACTACCGCAGCAATCGCACCAGTCTTTCGTCACGCCCACCACGCCACACCTGTCATCGCTCGAGCTGCGATTGAGTGGACATTGGTCGGCCTGAACCCGAGCTGTCGGTGGATGACCTCTTCCTCTTCTCCCAAGTCGAAAGCCTTTTCGACGACGATATTTCCGAGAGCTTGTTTCTTGTTGCGGCTTTGGACCGGCCTTGATTCGGCCATGTATCTCTCTCGAAATGTATTACAGGTGGGCACACACCTACACGCGACTCCCTGTTGTTGTGGTGTCAAGCACAACGCAAGATGTGTAAACTGCTGTACTCACAGCAGCAACCCGAGCACCTGATGACGTCATCTACGACATACCCCTCATTTCGGGGCCTCTGCCATTCGCGGAGCCCCCATCACTGCCCTTGGCAGGGTGGTGCTGTGCTGCATTGCTGCGTGCTGTGCCGGAGAATGGGGCTGCTCTCGTACCTCATGACCATAAGCGCCATTGGCGTTGGCCTCTTCGCTTTGGTGAGTGCTGCGCATGCTTTCGCCTGCATAGAGTACATACACTACGGCGAGTGAGAGCGTTGCAAAAGCGTTACGCGCACGGCAAAAAAATCGTGACTGCACTGCCCAGTTGTCTCGGAAGTCTCGGAGAGACAGCGCGCGTGTCCGCCTGCTTGTGAGCAACCACGGGCGCCGACAGCGTTGCTGCTTGGGGCTGCTCGGGCGAACCCATCGCTCGGGAGGCCTGCGCTGGTGGGTTTTCGTGCGCTGTCGTCTAGTCACCCCCGTTTCTCGGCACACGACGCCGGTGTGCAGACGGCCCGCAACTGCTGCTGTACCCTGCTCGCGGGGAGCGTTTTGTATCCGGCGCAGCAGCAGCGGGTCAGTAGCAGATATATCCTATTGAGCGAAAAGATGGTACGCATACATGATGGCGCAAAAGCGGCCGTCCCATGCCAAGGTTTAGGTCTCTTGGAGCCCTCCGAGGCGCAGCACTGCTGTCAACCTCTTAGGGTGGTGCACTGGGGTACTCGCCCCTACTCTTTTTGTGCGCTTTGGCCCGGAACATGGTGTGGAAAGTTAGACATGCACGCCGAACGAGTTATCCCGCACACCCTGGGACGTCAATCATCCGCGTGCACGCAAGACAGATCTACGGATGCTTGCTGTCTTATGCAGCGAGCCCCGTTGCCGCAACCTCCACCCGTATTACCAGGAACCACTGCCGTGTACTTTTGTTGTCCCTCAGGACCACCGCGGTGCCTCGCCCGGGACATCGTTGCTCGTGAACACGCGCGAGTTAAAAAAATCGAGCATGTGGAGGTTAGCGAGTGCCACCAAATGAGTGACGTGCTCTACGTAAGGCAAACAGCAGTATGTAGTTCCCAGAAAACTGCCTGAAATAGCAGCAGCGCAGGCGCGCTTGTTTACTCCCACCGCTGCTGTCTCCCGTTTTTTTTGTTCGATCTCCATCTGGGTAGCTCGACTGGCCTCGTTTGCTACAGGTGTGCTTGACGGCACGATATTCACTTGCTGAAAGGTCGTACAGATCCGACCAGACTGTAGAAGTACATGTAGTAGTCCTTTTCCCGGCAACCACAAAATTAGGCATGCGCGGCCGATGAGCTGTACAACAGAATTGCGTATTCAGCCCTTCGGTGCTGGTCCTGGCCAGCCATGGCAATACGTCGGGGCACCAGCACCATTGGAAATCGGACGGGAGTGGTGCGAATAGTTGAGGGTGGTTTCGAGTTACCCTCAATAGTGTTTGTCCCCCACTACTGAGGTATATCCGGGGCACTCAATGAACAAGACGCGTTTTCAGAGTTTGGGCGTTTTGACGGGAGGGGTCGATGAAAACTATAAGGTTGTTCTGGGGCGGGGAGTCTCTCCAGTACATCTTGTCAACGCCAGTTGCCCACCCGACCCTGTGCAGATGATAAATTTCAGTACACAAGACCGAGATATTGTCTCTGCGTGCACCGATAAGCATGGGAACACAGCTGGCACCTAACACTCCGTATTGATATTCAAGAGGGAGTCCTGGCGCTGTGTTTGGGGGAAGACGTGCCTAGATGTAGTGGTTCGATGTTCGTTGCATTGTAGGCACATGCCTCCTTCGCCTCTCTGCATCTCATCGCAGATGCTGTACAACGTGAGAACGCGCCGGAGACCTCGCGTTCTCACGCTAATAGACGCGAGACGCTTGATTTGCAGCAGTGCCGTTGCACCACAAGCTGCAACCCACTGCTTGCTCTCCTCCCCCGTCCTACTTGGGGTACAGACGCAAGCATGCCTTAACAAAACGCATCAGTGCCGGCACGAGAGATAATACATGCGACTAAAACCACCACCGACCATTTGCCTCTTCACAATACCCGTATCGTATGTGACTTCAGCGACGCACTTGGTGGTACCCTTGCGTGTTCCCGTCTTTCTCATCGGAGGAGCCTCCCCCTACCATCAGTTTGGCGAAACGTCTTCCCTGGCGTCGGGACGTGCGGGTTGGTCATGGCTTACTCCCCGCTATCAACCTTGCGGGGGCGACGTGGTTTTTCGCAGGCAACACGTTGATCTCTCTCCGCCCGGGGCGGCCCTGAGGGGGTATTCCACTAGGGTGCACCTCCTGTCCACTCTCTTTCGCAACCTTGAGCTATTCTTCCTGCCAATGTCTCCACGCTCTAAGCGCCATCATCACACCCATGGGGGGACATTACTGGCTCTCTCTATGTCCATCCGTCCTTCTGTTTCTTCCGTTCTCTTATCTCTCTCTCTCTCTCTCTCTCTCTCTCTCTCTCTCTCTCTCTCTCTCTCTCTCTCTCTAGCTCTCTCTCTCTCGCCGCCCCTCTCTATCTATACATCTCTCTCTCTGGATCTCCCTCTGTATTTCTCGGCCTCTCTTGGTCCCTTGCTAACCGCCCTTTCCCCCGCCGTTCCGAACACTTCCTCCTCGCGACCGAACCAACAGGCAAAACGCAACCACGAGAGAGCGGGGGCCCCGCGCCAAGAACAGTTCATCCCCTTCAAGAAGTACGGGGACGACACGAAGCAGCCCCTTGTCATCGTCCCGGGTTTGGATGGGGTGACGGCGTTTTTCTCCGACATCGTGCCGGAGCTAGCATTGAATGTGAGAGGACGGCGGCGTGTGCCTGGTGCGGTCGCGGAATTCACGAACGCAGGGGGCAGGGAGGTTGTTCATGGTTGAAAAACTCAGTTTACACGGGGGAGGCTGACCTCATGTAAACGCATGCGGTTAAGTCGTTGGTTAGACCGTTGACCTCGCGCCCACACAAGGCCGGAACGGGGCAATACGCCGGTTTTTCGCCGGCCTCGGGTGGAAGAGAGGGGCGGCGGGATGAATGGGAGAAAAGGCACGAGGTGTACTTGGCCGGGATTTTGATAGAAAAAGTTGTGATTGCAACGTGTGCTTGGACAGGAGTTGTGAGAGAACCTTTGGGTCTGGTTTCCCCCCGCCCGAGTTGTTCGACTGCCCCGAGGGTCCGCTAGAGAGTAGTGGGACTGAAACGCCTGCCAACGTGTGCCCATTGTTGTGGCGGATTGTTCCATGTTTGATCTTCGCATCGAGCGATAGCGGCGGTTATGGATGGCGTTGATCCCATTACAACGGTATGGGCCCGTGGCAGATGTGGCTAACTTTTCGGTTCGTGCGCGTATGCACATGTATCAATGTCTTGCAAGGATTTTGAATGGAATATTAAATGAAGTATAGAGCAGAAATAGGCAGCAGCGACGGCAGCAGAGACAGACAGACAGACAGACAGACAGAGAGCACATTGCCAAGTGTACGCACATGATGGCAGCTCGTGTACAGGAAGGAAGGCAGGCAGGCAACATACGCAGTACCGAAGCCTGCGTTCCTGTTCCCTGCTTGTGAATGGAGTCATGGATCGCCCTCCCGAGACGGTTCTTACCGTTCTCGGTCGGTGTTGGTATCGTACCTAGTGACTTGTCATAGTCTCATGACGAGGATGTTGGTGTCGACCAAAAAGGCCGAAGCCGATGGTGCATCACAGCGGTGTGTGTCGTAGCTCTTCTGCTGGGGCGGGACACCGCAGGGTAGGTGTCGACTGCTCTGCCAAACGAGGGTTGCATGCAATATGACGAAAGAGGAGAGGATGGAGTACTGTTGCCGTAGGCAATAGCAGGATGTTTCTCTCTTCTTTCAGCTCTGTTCAAAGTCGATATCACCAGCCTCACGCATCCCTCCCCCCCCCCCCCCCCTTAACGTCTCGTGCCCATGAAGTTTCACGTAGTCATGTTTAATCTGCCGCTGGCATCGCCGCCTCTGAGTCGAGCAGCAGTGGAGGGGGAGAGGTACGACATGTCCTACATCGCCAGGCGATTAGCTGGGGTCATGGAAGATGTGAGTGGCGAACAGTTTGTTGGAAAGGCCCTTCCTGCCTGTGTTGCTGTTTGGCAAACCCGTGTTCGAAAGCCAAGATGGGAAAGGTTGATGTAGCCGCGCTTGTTGTCCACTTCTCTCTGATGTGTGTGTGGTTTTTAGATACCCGCCATGCTGCACAAAGCTTTCAATACAACCTGTAAATACAACACGAATTTTGAAGGTCTTCGCAAAAGTTATCTCTAGAGTTGTGACGTCATATCCACGTCTACTGTCTCGTTGTTTTACAGCTGCGGACGATTTAGGTTACCAATTTGGTTTCGACGGGGGGGGGAGAGGACGGAGCATTGTTCCCAGAGAGGACCTATCGCCAATGGCCAATCGTTCCGTCCTGCTTTGCCAACGGTGGCTCAATAATATTGTCCCTATCCTGTCTAGTATATCACTCCCTCGCCTGCTTCGGCCACTTCATATTCCCCAGTGTAGCTGCCGAGGGAGGGGGATTGCCGGGCATCTCACTTCGTCTACTGTCGTGGACCACGGTATCAGATAGGAGAAATGCTTGCTTGTTCATTTTCGCGGTCAATCGACGGTTGCTCGGCACACCCCAGACTGACTTAACCCCACCACCATTTGTGTGTTCTTGGTTCGTGGGGGGGGGGGTGTCGCAGGCGGGAATCAAGGGCGGCGCGAGCATCGTGGGGGAGAGTTTTGGCGGGATGGTGGCCCAGCGATTAGCTCTCGATTTCCCGGACAAGGTGAAGGGGTGAGTTTTGGGACGAACCACGCGGGTTAGAGCTACAGCAGAGTTCCCTATTTGACCACTGTGGACCTTAGGGAGAGGAATCCTTCTGTGGGACCACGGGTTGGAGTAGACGGCACAAGTGCTGTGAGCGCTGATTTGAAGTGAAGACAAACAATGAAAAAATGGTCCAGGGGAAAACACCGACCTTACATCGGGCAACCACCCGGCACTGTTTATAGCATGAAGCACCTTGAGTAGTGAATCTGGCGAAGCGATTTCACCGGCCTCCAACAGGGCAACCGACCTTAAACAGGGACCTCCATTGTCGTAGGTTTCCGGCTTTGGTACCTGTTGATTGTACGTTTAAGATCGGGTCAGGGTTCGGGAGCAGGTGGGGCAAGGTTTCCTTTGGTTGATGACCGTGATAATGATGATGACGTCTATAGGGCTCTCTTGTAACGCCGTGGGTTTTCATGTCATGGTGAAAACTGCTCTATCTCTTCCGCGCGTTTCAAGTGAGCCGGTTCCAAAACTCAATCAAACCCGGCCGGTTTCTGTATGTGGTTGAGCACTGCTTGTCCGCTGTCTGAATCAAGCTACTCTTTTTCTGTCTCGTGGGCATCAATATTCCGTGAAGCTCACACTCGGCTTCTTGCACCGTTTTTTTCTTTTCTTTTTTCTGTCGTACGATGGAGAGTAGAAACCTAACGGATGCCATCCGTCTCGAAAAACCCTGTGTGTTGTGTTCCGACGAATCAGGCTAGTCCTTCTCAGCAGCCTTGCGAAGCTGGAGCTGCCACCCAGTGTCAAGTTTAAGGTATGGCGGAGGGGGGGGGGGGGGGGGGGTCAGACAGATAGGAACGAAACGGACACGTCATCCCGCAGTCTTTGCCGTCGCGCTCCTTTTTTTGTGCGGGGAATTGCGGATCCGAGTGGTCCCTGGTGGGGTTTGGGGAAGGGTAGGGGATGAGGGAAGAACTGGGAAACAAAGTAGGCACACACGGAAACGGACACAGACAAGCAGACACGAGAGAGAAAGACAGGGGCAGTGACAGAGGCGGAGGGAGAGACATAGGGAAAAAGAGAGACGGAGAGAGAGAGAGAGAGAGAGAGATAAGAGCAGTTTGACGGAGAGCCAGAGAGAGCTAGACAGTTGGAGCGAGAGAGAGAGCCCCCAGAACCCCCACCTTCGTTTCCTTCTAAGTTCTAAGAACAAGCGAATTCCCCGCCTCTGTTTCCTTCCAATCCCGCGTGCGGTGCACGCTCAATTGGTGTCCGTATCCTACCAACCTAACTGCCGGAGGCCGACTTCGTGCTGCCTGTGGTGGAGAGCATCGGCTATCTGCTCCCGTTCGTGGCGCAAAGCCTCTTCTCGGTGGCACATATGCCAGACGTGGTGAGCTTGCCGAATGCCTCCGTATTTGCTATTTAGTTGAACTCCGCGCGAGTTTTGCGATGAGGGTCACCTTGCGCTGAATTTGTGTGTGTTTCCACCCCATGTATCTGGGGGTCAGGGTTTTAGAGAGAGAGAGAGAGAGAGAGAGCAATACCCAATTGAAGCTGAACACGTGTGCTGAATGTTGTTGTAGTCCTCACGCGTTCTTTTTGGCGGAAAGTCCTGAGTCGGGCACAAGGGTTGCAAAAATCAAACGAAATGTCGTCAGTGTCAATCGTCAAAGAGTGTTACAGTCGAGGGACCTGTATAGTGCCGGTTGAATAGTGCCAGGTGCCCGGTATAGTGCCGGTAAAATATCTGGACATAGGCAGAGCTCTCAATAGTGCCGGTCTGGCACTATTGAGAGCGTGCCCGGTATTGTGCCGGTTGGTTCACCCGCGCAGGCACACACACGAGCCCGTTTAGCGCGATCGATGCTTGTAATAAGAACACACACACGACGAAACAGCCTTGCTTCGCCTGAAGGCTTATCATACCAACAGTATTCGGAGACGGTTTACCTTCGTGCTGGCTCGTTTTCTGTCGGTACAAAATCGTGATGTTTTCAAACGTCATGGACTCCTGATGGACCAATTTCCACCACGGCCAAGGTTGGGATCTAAGTAGCTAGTGCAGATAGAGAAGATGATGATGTTAATGAGGGGGAATTCATTTAGTAGCGATGAAGGAGGAGGAGAGGGAACGAGAGGACAAGAGAACAACCAAGACAACAATCGAGGAGGGAATCATGGAGAGGAAGAGAGCGAGAGCTTTGAGCAGGATGACCTTCCCCACAACAAACGGCGTAGGGCTGGAAAAGAACTGCCGAGAAATAGCTGTAACAATGACGAAAGAGAGTGATGGTGGTGAAAGCAAGGAGGATGATGGCGAAAGCACCCCAAAACGAGCTCGAGTGCAAGGTAGCAGCCTTGGTAGACACGTGCAGTTTTCTTCTGTTGGCTACCGTTTCTGCCTTCAACCCGGAGAATAGCTTAGCCGCCCCCTCACGGGATCCCAGTTTATGGCATTTAGAAGTGTTTTGTGTTGTCAACCGCACTGAGACTGATGTCTTTTCATTGGTCAGCCGGTTAGCGCGGTCGATGCTACTTGAAAACAACACACACACACAACCAGGCAGAAGACAGACTGCACACAGAGAAATAGGGTACACATGCTGCTGCAGAGTCTGACCCGAAAAGCTTTGTACGAACGGGAGCTTTTCAAGCAGTTTCTGCCGTCACCGGTTAATCGGGTGCATGACGCGTGTCTTCCTTTCGCCGTCGACTAGTGCTAGTGAGGTACTGTAGCCCGAAATGCAACCATTTTATTTTTCAACAAACTCTTGTGGGCTCGACAGGGTGAAGAAAGTCTGCCCACACACACGCTAGAACTTCACAAAATGTCGATCCATTTGGTACTCTGTTAGCCCCGCAAGCGTGAGCGCCACACCATAAATCGAACACGTCCTCAATAGTGCCAGACCGGCACCAATGAGGGATTGGGCAGCCCTCAATAGTGCCGGGTACCCGGTTAGTCCCGGTGGACGTTCTGTGCACGTACCAGCACTATTCAGGTCCCTCGACTGTATTGAACCCCCGAGCCTCACGCCGTGTCCTCAGTTGGTCATAATAAGGGTTGCGACAATCAGAACAACATGTCTTGAATCGCACCTTTGCCAATCATTTAATGAGTGTGTGAATCCCGACCTCGTTACCGCACCGTGGGGTTTCTTGGACTGTGTGTGCCTGTTTTACAGGTAGAAAAGGACGAGCCGCTGTGGGCGAAACACTTGGTTCTAAAGGAGGCGAGCTGGGTGGACCACTGGTCAGTCATGGCGCGAACAAAGATAGCGCTTGATTTTGACACAACCCATGAGGTGAGTTTTTTGGTTTTTTTTGCGTCGAGATTATGTTTTTTGGGAGCCAGTCCAGATAACGCGAGATTTTCTTGTCTTTCTTTTTTCGTCTAAATAATCTATTGTCCTAGTGCAGGCGCGCCAGCCTACATGTTTCGGTAGAATGTGCACATTAAATGACAAGAAATGCATGACGCCAGAGAGTAAAAAAGTCCGGACGTTAGGTCTGCGCTTGTGCAGACCCGAGCCGAAGGCGAGATGCGCCCCCCCGCAGGGCCCCGCAGGGGCCACCCGGGAGGGCCCCCGGAGGGGCCCGCGGAGCAAAAACTTGGGCTCTTCCGTATAAAAATCACCCCAAAATAGCGTAAAAGTGTCAATTATCGTGTTTATTACGTGTTTTAATGGCATGTTATGTCTCTTTCTCTCCTTCCAGCACAAAAAGCCCTCAAGAAAAAAATTTCGCCTCCGGCGAAAGAAAAGGGCCGCAAAAAATATTTTTTCGCCTACGGCGAAAAGATGCGGCCCAATTTTTGTTCATGCGGCAAGCCGGAGATTGGCCCCCGGGGATCCTGCGCTGAGAGCATATTTTTACTCTCTGCTTGACACACCAGTACAGCCTAGCATTGTTTTTTCGTTTTCTCTCGCTCTGATGTGTTTTGGAGCTACCTCTGCTATTGTGTTTTGAGAGGGCGGGAGACCTCTACTTCTTATGCTGCATGTGTTGCGCAGGTGCTGTGGTCATGTTTGGCGATTAAACAGCGCTCGGCTTCGACACTACGAGTCGCGTAAGGAGAAGCGATTGTGCCGCGTGCCGATTTTCATTTCGTATCCGGTTTGTTTTCGTTCTTTTTTATCGTCCGGCAATTTGATTGCCTCGTTTTGTTGCTCCAGCTCGAGAACATCAAGACCGGTGCTCTTGTGCTGTTCGGCGAGAACGATACCTTCACGGCGACGGGCGCACAGCAGCTCATCGACGGCATCGAAGGCTCCCGAAAAGTGGTTAGTGATGAAGTGTTCGGACGTGTTGTTGCTGTCTTCACATTACAAACCGTTCCGTTCTCCCTCCGCTGTACCTTCTTCTGTCCGTACTACTGTAGTCAAACACTTGACGCGGTCGATTTCCGTGGTCACAGGCTTACTTACCCAAAAAAAAGTACACTTAAATAAAATGGATCCGAAGGGTCCGGTGTAGGATGTTGCCTTTTTTCTTTTCGTCTCCCGGTCAAAAACTGACGACAGTTTTTTTCCACGGGTTTGTCGTTTTCGTTACAGTCTTGCTTTGGCGTTAAATTCTCGTGTTTTCTTCATCACAAGCCCCCCCCCCCCCCCA